CGTTGCATCGACTGAGATAAACCTATCATTGAGTAACCTAAATATTGGTAGAAATACACGTATATTTCCTCGCCCAAATGAATCTCTAGCAAAATTCTTTTTCTACTGAAAGCTACTGGAGCAAGCCACAGTTATAAATACCTTGCAAATTTAATTTTGGAAGCGGCTAAGACATTGCCATTTTTCTCATTTCATTTTATAATCCAGTGAAACTGCTTTCTTTCATTAATTTAAATCCATTGTGACTAAATACAATATGGTAAATGATAATGGTAATCAGGAATATAATATAAATAGTCTTATATCTTTATTGTATTTAAAATATATTTTGCACTTCTTTTTTCAAGATCAGAAGTTTTACAAACGTTACAGGCCTAAACAAAAGTAAAGCTGAGGAAAAATATAAATAGGATGCTTCACTAGTAGTAACTAAAATAATAACCAGTTGTCAATCAGGCGGATTTTATTTAATCAACTTTGTCTCACATCATTCTTGCAAAAAAATTTCCACTTGATTCATTCTAAGAGATATCAACTTATAATTTTATATAACTTATTTATAGAGCATCTTCTTCGTTTAACGGCTTTATTGCTTAGGCTAGCTCCACTGACTACAGGAGTTTCCAAGTTGTCCGATCCGACGAAATCGCATATAGTAATGGAAGCCATTTCTTTTTCCATCGTCTAAGTGCGTATATCGCTAGTCCAACATTCAAAATCTTTCCTGGATGTACCTATCAGTGCAAGCCTTGATTGGCCCTTCTCGCTTTTGATGCTATCCATCACAACTGTACAAAAATCCGGGTGATTCTGGCGACTCACCTGCATTTCTATCGCCAAGGAACTTCCTGGCATATTGCCCCATGCGACAAGCCAGTGGAGCGAGTTTAACCAGAAATGGTGGGGACTCTTTAAAAAAAACAATTTGTATTGACAATATTAGCAAAAATGTTGGTATTGATAATAAGTTTCATATTCGTCAGCTTAATTTATTTCTCATTGCTTTTCTCATTGCCAACAATTATTATTAGCAACTCCTGCTTTGACTACTATGCTGTAATTATTATCTTCTGCGAGTTTTTTAAAATTTTTTAATGCGAAAACAGGTTGATAAGGTATTTTTTCTCTTTCTACTTATTAGCTCTTTGTTACTATAGTCATCGTCAGGATAGCCGAGTGGTTGCTCAGATTATCCACCATCGTGATTCAGACCCTTCACCCTGATGTCCGACAAGAATAATGAATGGCCTGTCATTAAAAAATGGGGGTGGTGATATTTCGAAATTTTCTTGCCTTTTAAATTTATATATTAATGGAATTATAAAGGGTGAAGATGCTAATTCTGAACCATTTTCTTCTAACCGCTCTCAATAATTTTATTTATAAAATTATAAAATTAAGTGATTATAAAATTTAGAATAATCAATATTAAGCTGGAGTATTCTAAAACTTATATTTTACCATAAATTGTATTGTCTGAAATTTTTCTTTGAAATACTAAAAGAATAAATTTAAAAGAAAAATTTGCAGATTTAATAGCGTTGACAGTAATATCAATGGCCATCAATTCATTTGATATATTCAAGCGGGGAAAACCTTACTGGGGATTTTTTTCCTCAGGGATTTCCTGTTGCCCACATTGTGCACAATTTTTATACATTCTGCCTTTTAAATGAGTAAGAAATTCACGTTTTAAGCGATCCCTTTATGTTTCTTTCGTATTATTTTGAAATGGAAATTACAATAGAATCGATGTTTTTATTCAAATGATCCACAGTAATATCCAAGATTTAAGATCAAAATCAAATTTACTCAATTAAATGTAAAAGATTAGTGAATTTGCCGTGAAATTTCAAAAGAAGCTTTAGTTTTGTCTTTTCTTTAATCCTTTTATTTGCATTCTTTCCGTCCTTTTCGATTTTGTATACCATAAAATATTTTATTTTATTTTATTGCGCTTAACTTTACTAAGTCATGCAGTTAGATATTCGCGAAATAAATGCACTTTTTATTTATAATTTCAATTTTTAAACGACCATAACGTTCGCTTATTTGCATAAAAAAATTTTTTTTAGCTTTTTCTTTTTTTCATATTGGAATTAAAAAATTGTCGAGGACGAGTGGTACTATCATTTATTCGATTTTGAGAGTGAACTTTGTCATTAAAAATGAAAACTTAGCGATACAGAAATCCACATATACTTCAATGATTATTTCTTTAGCGAAAAGGTTTCACGCTAATGAGCCAAACCGGAAATGGTTTCATTTTTGTGTTATTCAAAATTATTTACAATGATTGCACCGCATAAGCAATTGCTATGAATAATTTATGATAATTCATAAATCTGAAAAAAATTGTATGAAACTGAATTTCTTACATATTTTAATTGTGATAATAATCCATTAATTAAATTGATATCGTATGCTATCCTTGTACAATATTTAATAAAATATCATATTTAATCAAATATTCCTTAAGGAATTGCTTATATAGATTATATAGATTGTTGTATTATTTTGGTTGTTGCAAAAGCCGACGTAAATTATCAGTGATTGGAATTGGTTTGAATTTATGCCTATTTGATCACTTTTCGACTCATTTCAAGCTTGGCTGAAGTGCTTTCATAACTGCTGATTGTGCTTTAAAAACAAGCATCATCATTCCATCGTCGCTTTAATAATAATTATACTAACCAGTAAACCATATTGTAGTTTTTTCGTGTAATCTTGCAAATAGAAGTATTCGCTTTCAATTGTATTTAAATCACTGATCGTCAAAAAAGTAACGAATTAACGTGATTATTCACACCAATTTAGCTAAACTAAAATTTTATAGTAAAATTTCAGATCGATATAGTTACCCCTCAATTTTAAAATATCGAAAAAGATTGATAGCAAAAGTTGATTACTATGGGCAATGAAGCTTCCTTATTAAAGATCAAAAGTAGCTCCGTGAAAAATGATGCACCCAGGATAAAATTGTCTATTACGGATTATGGAAACGAGGAATCATATATTGGGTATAATTCTCTTTTCCACCTCAACATTTCAAAATATTATTTATTATCGCGAACTTATTTTATTTAATCAGAAAAGAGACACCTGAAAATAATAGGAAAATTTTTGAGATATTTAAGGATTTCATTTAGAAATAACCAAATGTGTAAGGCAAAATATGCTTATATGTGAAGCAATAAGCAAATAAGGAAAGCCATGTATTTTATATGCATTTTAAAATGTACAGGGAGTACAAGGAACCAATAAACTGGATAAACTGATAAGATAAAGTGAATAGATAAATTAGATGAACTGGTCTATTGAAAACCATTACTATTAATTATCATTCAAAAAGCTACGTTTTTTTTATTATATAAAATTGAAAGAAAAGTAAATATTTTGTGAAATTTCAGTGTTTAATTTATTTAAGGAATTCCTCAAATAATTCCTCATAAAATTTCACTTTTTTCGTTTCATTGCTCTTTAATATGTTTTTTTGCTCAGTATTTTTTAAGAGTGCAAAAATAAAAGAACAAGAGAAATTAAAAATTGGTGTAGAATTTTCTCCTCAACCAACAGCACAATAAAACTGCAAATATATTAAACTCACCAACTAGGTTTGCGATCTACTGGCTGTTAGTGTTCCTGAGAAAATTTTGCTAATGACTCAACTCTTTTGGGATAGAAATACGCATCTCCAGCATCATCACCGGGATTTTTTAATAAAGAACTCCTGTTACTCCTGTTGGACGAAAAATCGAACCTTGACGACCGAGATTATTCAGCCAACCTGTCTCCAAATATATTGCGTTATTATTTATATCTGGGGCATCGGTGGCTCAGGAGCAAGATAATTGCCATAAGAAGAACGCAAAAGAGAGTAAAATGGAACAGCGAACTATTACTCAACTCGGAATCTTAATGCTGAAGTTCTATTCCTGATATGAGCAAATTTGTTCAAAAATTCTTGTGATGCAGGCGACTCACCTTATTTCTGTCGCCATATTTGTCTATTCCAACAAGCAAGCGAATCTAACCAGCAATGGTGAATGCTCTCTTTAAAAAAATTATAGGTATTTAAAAACTTTATAAAGCCATAACTGGCCTTCATTTACTGTATATGATAATGAATTTTTTTATAGAATTCATAAACAATTGCAGCAATATTGCCTCCCAGCGAGTGAGACGAATCGCTTCATCGCGAATGGAACAAGAATTATGGACACCTACTGAACAAGGTCAATTAAATAAATTTACAACAAATCGAAAAGAAAATTTAAAATATTAAAGAATTTGTGGAAATTTCTTTGGGTTGATTTTTTAGTTTAAATCAGTGAATGAAGAAAAAACAGATGTTTACAGTGGCAAACCTGTAAGTGAAACCTAGTTGTGTTACTGCCCAATCTGGCGCTATCTAAATTTCATTTCCAGTAACAGGGAAAAAGAAAGATATTTCGGGCCCTCAATGGTTTTATATGAAATGATGGTTTTTTTTTCAGGATTTTTGTCACCCGAATCCAATGATATTAAACGGAAATCAGATGAACACTGTGGCCGCCGTCGTAGTCGATCACTTTGTGCACAGCAATTTAAAAATGACTATTCAGTATAATCTTTTGCATAATCATACAATTTCGCAAAATTTATGGATTTCTGAAAGGAATAATTTATGAAATTTTTGCGCTCATGGTAGAATTCCGATTCCAATGTTCTCTTTAGCATGCAGAGCACTTCCGAAGATGCGCTCCCTTTAATGAGCGGTTATCGCTCGCTCCATCTGCTGCAAGTACGAGTAAATTTTGCCTTTTGGCAATAGAAGTAAAAGTGGTTCTCTAGAATCATCAGACAGGTTTATTCTTGATCGAAGCCAAGTCTACTGCTAGATAATAATGCTACAGATAATAATGTAAATAGTCCTATTCACGGTTTACAATAGCATTTCGTATTTTTAGGAACTTTAAATTTTTTTATTGAATTGGTTATTTTAAGTACAAATATTAAGTATATCATGTGCTAATTCTTTTAAGCTAGTTGCATCAAACTATGACCGTATTGAAAATAATAGTTCGCCTTCATCAAGAAGATCAAGTTATGTTGCATCTTTAAATCGTATCCGAATTCAGCAAAGTTTCAAAGCTTCCAAGTAAAATCATTGTAAATAAAATTAATTCCAGAATATCAGCTCTTCTAGTGATTAAATTTGTTTTAAAAGCAAGCAATTTAGCAAGGATCTTGGCCGATCAATCTTTAAGCGTTCCAGTCTAATTCGCAATGAGTTTCGTTCATTCCTCGCCGATCTTCCTGAAGATATTTTTGAAAAACTTTCTCTGGCAATTTTTGTGGTGTTATCAGAAAGTGTAGAGAACATTAATGATATGGATAAGGTTGCTTTCATTCTAAAATAATCTATAATCCTTAAATAAAATAAAGGCAGGATTGAACTGACTGAAATATGCACATACTTTGTTTCAAAACTGTGGTCAATTGGTAATTTTTTCATTAAATACTTTTACAGCATCCGATTCACAGCGAGATAGAATCTCTAGATGGAATTTGTCACCATTCTATATTTTTTAATAATCTACTGGTGTTTTTTTTAACATTTTTCCCTAATGGATTCAGTACCTCACAGTACCATAGATATTCATTGAAGGGCAAATAATATTATGGACAAATGCTTGTTCATCCTACATAGGTCCTTTGAGGACAAGTTGAATTCGTAAAAAAATTTTTTTTAAAATCTGGGAACATTTAGATAAATGCAGTTGCAAAATCATTTGGTGAACAATTTGTCGAGCTTTATCATCTTGGATTTCGTCCAGATTATTTCGCTGTAATTGCTGATGCTGCAATAGCCGAATGCGTGAAACTTGATGGCGGAATGCATAAGCGTTGTGAAACAACGTTAGCTTGGAGTCAACTAATTGCTATCATTTTTACTGGAGTTCGTGATGGCTATTATGCTCGCCTGCGGAAGTTTCGCAGAGGCAGTTATGGTAAAAGATAACAATTTGCTCTTCAATCTGTTGTCATTGTCAAATGGGTCATCGCAATGTTTTGTCTATTTTTGTAAACTGATTTTACAGCATTTCCATTTGCAGAATAACTGATATGAAATATTAAATATTTCGAAAGTTAAAATATATAACAGAGTCATAATTATACTAACTGCAAAATAGGAACAAAATATCTAACAGCTGAAACAGTATCGCGAAAATTTATTTATTCAGTAAAGTTAACTAAGTATATGCCGTGTCCTTATCCTTTAATCTTATCCTTTAATTATCTTCTATTTCACTCCTGTTTCAAGTTCCCTATTTCACATTCTTTTGGTCTTTAATTAATTATTTCGTTAGCTGTTTTTTAACGATATCCGAGAAATAAGTGTGAGATAACGATGAGAAATGAATATTAAAGGCAAAATGGAATTTAAGCTTGCTTGAATTGTTTTGTCATTATAATTTCTTTATTTTTGATGGTATATATCCCATTCAACAAATTGGTTTATCGTCTTAAAAACTCCATAAACTCCATAAACGGAAATCGATTGCTGTCGGAGCAAAATAATTATGCATTTCTAATGCCCATCATAAGCATCAGAAGTAAATATGGTGGAATCGATGCATTATTTTTTTCCATGAAAAAATCCGATTCTATCCTATTCGAGCGCGGAACCAGTTTTTAATTTAGTTATTCTGTTATTATTTTCCTTATTTTCCTATTTTTGAAAATTATATTATACTTCACCGAGGGCGAGTCATTTAACTTAACACAATAGAATTAAACGAGCTATTTTTCAATTCCATGGAGGCTGAAAAACCTCATAATATTTGATATTTTATTCAGAAAATTTGAATTAATTTTTCATGTGATATACATTCAGATCTTATCAGTATGCATAAGATCCTGAAATAATAATGATTTTTACGCTTGATAGGATGATTAAAATGCAGTTGATTACCAAGAATAAAATTTGGATAGGAATTATATAGTTTTTATCAATGCTTTTAATATGAAAAATTAATGCGTAAAAATTGCAATATATTAAGCTAATGGACTTTTAACAAATACAGTCAATTCATGAATTGGGAATCTCTGAATATTGCATAAACAGGTCGAAGGAGAATGTTCAGCAATCAACAAACTCATTTGAACCTTTTTTAACGTTTTTATATTTTTGACGATTATTGAAGCGTAAGATCGAAATCGAATTATAAAAGATAACACTATAGAAAAATTGGTAGGGCTCAATTACACGAATTTAATGAAAATTTTGAGAAAAAATAAAATTATTTATATATGACTAAGTTATTGGTGTAAAATAAAAGGTTGGACATGATTTGGTATAGAAATTCGTATAGTATTTGGATGAATGAAAAAAAAAACTAAAATTAAAAATAAAAATTGAAAAATAAAAGGCCAACACATTATTATTAGTTAGCCTAGTCCTGCTGGCTTTTCGTGCGGTCATCAGTATTCAGATTTTTTAAAGACAGCTTTATTTCTAATGGTAGTAAGAGCCAAATCTTTGCCTTCCAGTACTGTTGTCACGTTATCCTGCTCTTTAAAAGTTAACATGGTAAAATTAGATGACGACGTATACGGAGAGACAAGATAGTGGTTCGCGCCCTGACAGGAGCAAACGTCGCTAAAAAAATCCCAATAACAACAGTGATTTGCCTGCTCCTTAGTTAGAAATTTTTCACAGATTTCGCCAGTAAGTCAAAATTTTTTATGAATAGCCACAAGGCTTTAAACAGATATAGTGAACACTAAACATCTTATTATTGTAATAATAAATAATAAATACTAGAGTTACTAAAATTCGACAAAATTATTATAAAACAGCTGCTTGCTTCGTTAAGATGATTAAGATGCACTGAGAAAAGTTTTATTTATTATGAATTAAATTATAAGCGAAAATTAAGCAACACAATTTCTAACCTAATTTAGTTATTCGTTCTTTCCGTTCTTTCTGAAAAAACATTGAACAAATCAAATGAAATCGAAATATTTGAAAAATTTCAGATATAAGAAAGCATAAATAAGAAAATAAATTAATTACTTTTGATTTTGAAGAAATTTCTTCCTAAGTATTTGAGCTCGATAAAATATGTATTTTTCAAAGCGGTAGAAGTCGAGGAGTCAGCAAATTTTGTCAAATGCGATATTAAAGGAATGCGATATTAAAGAAATGCGATATCCTCCACAAAATGACACATTAATTGCAGTCCAGAAATAACATATTAATTTCAACTTGTAAACAGGATCATTCTATAAAAACAATGCAATCAGATACGTTTACACGCTGTCATGGTATGCCTGTTATGCCTATCTGGCTTAACTATTCCAGCCGAATTTGTTCAAGTCCGAAACAGGTAATTTTTTGATTATTTTCCGCTATTGAGGAAATAAACTCAAATGAATCGCTCGATTCCCGCATGCGTAATCGTTATCAACGTAATCTTATCATTAGGAAATGCGAATGATTGTGGGATCCCAATTACTTTCTCTTCTCCAAGTGATTTCCTGAGTATCACATCTTAACCCATAGAGCTTGACTAACGTGATGTTGCCGAACGGCGGTTGCTACTTTGAGGTCACAGATCGGAAAATAGAAAATAGGAAAAAAAAAACTAACTTATCAACACAACATGAATCAGTCAATGAAGAATGAGCGTTGAAGAATGTAAATTTTCATTTTACTTTTTCTATAAATTTATGAAACTTTAATTTCGTAAAAATCATGAACCGATCAAGCAAATCGCAAAACGGCATTCTCAACACGCATGGTACTTATAACCTAGTGGTACATATGACAAACGTGCCAACCGAGATCGGAAATAATGTTATTAAAAACTGCCACGCAAGTTCTCGAAATGGAAGTTGGATAAATGTGAATATGTATTTGCTTGTGGCGAGATCTTAGCTATGTATGCGTGAAGTACTTATGGATAGATTATTAGTCAATGTGAATGATAGGCTTGTCTTGTCGCTTTCCTTATTCCGAGTTTAAAGTGTTATAACTGGTTCGGGAAGTACTGGTTGTATCACAGTGCAGTTTTTGATAACTCAGGAACGGCGTCGCATTTGAAAAATTGTCCGAAAAAGCACATTAAAAAAGCTTTAAACGCGCTATGAACAACCAAACTGTTGACCATTCTTGTCTTAAAGGTACGTGTATCACCAAGCCACCAAGAGGATCTCGAATGATTACGTCCATTTTTGCTTGAATACCACCTGCATTAAGAATATGGTCGCAAAACGCCGGTTTCCTCTACTTTGAAGTTGAGCTCGACCTCAAAAGTAGATTTTGGACGAAGTATCGGCAATATACAAACGACAAGAACAAAAGCAACAACGTATTCAGAGAATGTTTATTCTGGCCGAACAAGTATTTGCTGGGTGGCATTACTGTGCATGTAAAATTATTTTGAATTCAGAAGTCGAAATTGGAAGTCAACGAGGAACGGTCAAAGAAATGGATGTTATAATTACCATTAAATCAAAGTTATACTAGTGAGAAAAGTGAGACAACAAGGTGCTGACAAGTAATTTTCAGCTCGAATTCTGTTTTCCGACTTGTAACAGCAAAAGTAGCTTTTACATTCGCTGTTTCGCGACAGAGAGTAAATGCTATTTGCTTATTTAATGAGTATGCCTCGACCATAATTCAGCGTATCAGACATATTCTCTCATATCATCTGGATCCAATGGCATTTGACAAGTGCATATAAATTTTCTCGCTCCAAATCCAGGATGTCTCAAAAATTGAAATTTTAAACTTCGTAGTTGCTTTTTACTTTTTTAATTTAAATGCCGTTGATTAGGGAACCGAATGGATAATGAATCAGATTATCGTGTTGAGAGGCAATGGCTTGGGGTCGACGGGAGTCTATCGCGAAAAAGTGATTGAATGGTTCCGTACTTTTACCATCAATAGTGACAGCTTGCAGAGCTAGCCTAGCAATAACTACTCACTTAGGTGCGATTAGTTCAAATTTAAAATTTTTGCAATTCCTTATTTGCCATTAATTTGCAGGATGAAAGAAGTAACACACTGCCTTCTACATTTGTGCCTAATTTTCATAATAAAGAATCGGTAAAGAAAATGAAATATAATCGGCTCGGAAACACTGATATTTTTATATCAAACTTATCACTGGGTGCCTTTTTCTCCATATTTGATATTTCATTAATCAACATTAAAAAATCTAATAACATTCACAATTCGAAAAACTTAGATTTATTCACGAGAAATTTAGCTCAAGAAAAAATTAAAATGCGAGGAAATAATTTATGGTTATTTGAAAGGAAGAACTGGCTCTTAAGAAAATTGATTTACCAGGATTTAAACCCGAAAATAAGGAGAATTTTCAGGATGTGCAGCTATAGGGGGGCTTTTTGGTGAAGTAGGAGATATTTCGGTATTTGAAATTTTGGAAAGTGCAATAAAAAACGGCATCAATTTTATTGATACAGCTTATTGGTATGCACAAGGACGAAGCGAAGAGTTGTTAGGCAAGGTATTGTTACTATTACTATTTATTTATGCAGCAATATTTTGGCTATAAATGTTTTGAAGATGTTAGATGGTAAGATCGATGCCTTTTCAGCTTATTGTTATATTGAGTCTTCCCACAATGATCATCCATGTTTTAAGCTGCAAACCCTTCAAATACTCATCTGCTTAAGTGAAAAACATTTGAGGTTTTACTCCGAATACCACGAAAATCATATTTTATTAGTACAAAAGTTGGGAAATTCGAATTAGATTTTGTACAACATTTCGATTTTCGAGCCGACAATATTCTTCAGAATCTTACAAAAAGCCTAAAGAAATTAAAGTTGGCGTATGTTGATATCTGCTTCGTTCAGGTTTAATTCATTTCCAAAATTTATTCCCAAGGTTCTTCCACTTTTTTTTCATTTTTTTCTCCTTTATTTTTTTATTAAGAAAAATGTTCATTCACGCTGATTATTTAGCATCATTATTCAGGGATATTACCCGACACTGATAAAATTCTCTCAATAATTAGGGTTTGATGCAGTTTTAAATAGATGCAAGTAAATACAGCGGTTTTGAGGAAATTTAATGAGTTGTAAGTTGTAAGTTGCAAGTAATCCTGCTTGCAATATTTACTACCATCTACTGGTATTACTTTTTTTGCTAAATTATTGATAAAATAATTGCTGTAGATATTGTATTGTAGTGATTTTCAGATTCATAATTCAGAATTTGCGCGGCATGAAAAAATAATTCTCTATGAGACATTATCAGCTTTGGAAATAGCGAAAAATTCAGGAAAAACACGTTACATTGGCTTAGCTGCATATTCGCTCCAAAAATTACAGTTTGTTTCTTAGCTGGTTAAATATTTTTCAACTGAAAAACTAAAATATTGCCAATGCATAATCCAATAGCCTTCAAAAACAAAAAACCACAACCATTATCAAAACAAATAATTTAATTAATTATATAATGCAAAATCAATCAAAAATACACATATTTAAAGGCATTTGTCCTTTGATGTGAACAATTTGTTACTGAGAGTAAAATATGAGAGGTAAGGAGATATGGCCGAGCAGCACAATGTTTATAGTACCATAGGCTTGATGAAAGTAAATCTATTATTAAAAATGAAATCCAGTTGATATTTGGGATTCCTTCATTTCTCCATCTCTAATTGCTTCCTAGCAAAAAGATTTTGTCATAATAATTAATACAAATCATCCAAACCATAAATGTGTTGGATCACGAAAGAGTCCAATCCTATTCCTCCATGGAACCAATCAAATAAGAAATGGTGAATGCTGCTGAAGTAACGAGAAGAATGTTATAAAATAGAAAAATATCAAAATATACAAATATAACAAGAAAAATAAAGGTTAAACATCGTTTGATCATTATAATTTTTTTGCGAATTCTTCAATTTTTTTCTTAGGCATATCCACGAGAAAGTCGCAACAAAGCTCGAATCCATACTGCCCTTATCTTCACTGACTTAAATAGCAAACTGAAGCTATTGTCTTTCAGATCAGTAATAGACAATTCTGCAGTTCCAATCGACGTTGTTATGGTGTATTGTAGAGGAACATTAAATGACAACTCTCTTGGTGGCTATGTGCAGATATTTAAGGTTGATTTCTTTTCCTCAAAAACAGCTATATTCATTCATTCATAAAATTTCTCTTAAGGTTTTTTTCATTTTAGTATTTTGCATTTTAAAGAATACATTTTAAAGAATACGTGTATCATATAAGTTTATATTACATTACAAACAAATTTACTTGTAGTCCAAAGGAATTGGCATAATCAACGCTTCGCCATTTTCAATGGGCTTATTGACTGCAAAAGGACCTTCGTTGTGGCATCCGATGTCTCTAAATGTCCGAGAAATTACAGCAGCTGCAATTCAATATTGTATGGTATGTTCGGCGGGGTTTTGGATTGTGAATATAATCAGTATTTTATATTTTTTTGCAGAAACCTCGGATGGGCTTATTGAAACGAACCTCGGTTCATTTATCACTTTCAATCAAAAATTCGAAAATTGTAAATTGAGAGATATATCCAATATTTTGATCATTCCATGAATATTTTTAGTACCTTTTAGAGCAAGAACATCCTAATTGAAAGGCTAGCATTGGATTATGCGGTAAATTTTCCTTGCATATGTTCATGCCTTGTTGGAATGGAGAGTGTACAACAAGTCATGGCTAACATCGAAACAGTTTCTTCGAAAAGATTAACTGAAGTTGAAATCAAAGTTCGCAGTCGTATTATGAGAAGGTTCACATAGTCTTTGTAATATTTTCACGACTGTCATTTATGAAGGCAATATCTGAGAACAAATATTTCAACTTAATTTGTCGATAAGCTTTAATTTAATTATTTTTAAGATATTTCGATGTACTAGAAAATGCAGATTGGGAAAATGTCGAAATGCAGGTATACTGGCAGCGAATGAAAACATTAGGCTTATCAGCACTAGCCACTCGTCGTGAGTTATCAGTTGAAAATCAGCGTTTAACCAGACGTGCCAGTTTTTCACTTAAATAATTTTTTAAATTTCATCAATTTTTTTCCAGTCTAATTTCAAAGTAATCTCCGTTTTGTTTCGATTGTTATTATTTATCCGTTCAAAATTGGAAAGCACTTCAATTTTTCATTCATTGCATTCTAAACTAATGACTCATTCAGATCGAAAAGTAATTCCTAACCAAAACCAAAATTGCATGTAATCGTAAAAACTATAAATTGTGTTGCTCATTAATAAACCAGTGTAAACCAATGCCAGAAATTAATTGTTTTCTCACTTTCTTCAACTTAAAAAATAAATAAAAAACTTATTATTTTCCCAGTAGTTGATGAAATTTAAAAATTTAGTTGATAAGCATATTTGTTTCCATTTTTTATTACAAAGCAACGACCTTTTATATCTTTTCATAAGGAATACTAATTTCAAATCTTCGGTTCTCGATATCCTAATTTACATAGATTTTCGACATGCTCCTTCTAAAATTGTTAAATTAAATCAGATATTGTATTGAAAAATAACACTAAAGAATCAATTCCGCAGTTTTTTCATTAGAAATATTAACTAGTGAGATATGCTACCACGATATTATTCTTGCCCCGTCTCCAGTTCTAACAGATCATTTTAAGATCGATTAGAACATTTCAAAAAATTAAAAAAAATTTCCACCCCTAATTCAATTCATTCTTGCCTTAGCATTGTTTCTTCCCTTTTCATTCTCGTTATACTTCTTATCCTGTTCTGTTCACTTTTGCGACATCGAAAGCAAGAACCAAAACCAAGGGGGAAATAAACTGTCCATTGGATATGTGGGCTTAAAAGGTAGAAAGAAGAATGGTCCCATCTACTCTCACAATTGCCACTGGATCGAGAAGCTTGGAAACGTCTTAATCACAAATGCAGCGAGTCAAATCAGAAATGGTGAGAAGATTCATTTATATTCCTCTTTGTTCTATCATTTGTTATCAACTGCATAAATAAATAAAAAAAAACGCCAGTATTCATAACTAATTTTAATATTATAAAAATCGTCGAATGATTTCTAAGGAAAAAAGCAAAATTAAAATTTCAATTAAATTTTTTATAGATATTCTACCAAATATGTCCATTAGAACAATGGGACGAAATGCCTTAGTCCCGGCGATGTTGAATAAATATCGAACATTTGCAAGCTTGCCTTAGATTGACTGGCGGATATATGATTATTTTTTGTTTCTAAATATTTTTCATAAATATTCATCAATAATCAGTACTAATGAAACAAAAAAAATCAATGCTTGCCAAATAAGTATGAAAACAATTAGATAAAAATGAAAGAAATACCACCAAACATTTCCTGATCCCGACTGACGTCGTCAAGAAAATCCATAGATTCGCTGTCATTATCTCTTATGGCACATTTCTTTCCAAAGTGATAAATTTCATTTTTTAACCTTATTTTATCATCAGCTAATGGCGAAAATCGACGTATCAATGAATTTATGAACTCGTATGACCTGAAGAATCAAAAAACAAAATTAAATTCGATCAAAATTTTGAAGGCAATCCACAGCTATCCAAGAAATCTATTTCTTTCACAATAATGTGATTAAAAAAATACACCTTTCAAGAGAATAAGAATCAAACGGAAAATATGGTTCAAATGGAACTTTATCATTTGTTACCAAACGGATAACATGATGGCAGTATACAAGTTGTAAAGATCTAAAATTTTAATTCATATAAGAAGTGATGAAAAAAATATTTGTCTTCAAAGAAGAAATACGAATAAAATAAAATGAAATACTGCTATGAACTAAATTTAATCGTTATTCTCATTTAGACCTTCAATTTATACTACGATTTATGAACATAAAAATGAAAACGAAACAAAAATACTGAAGAATTTGATAAAAACCTGCTGATAGAAGCGAAACAAAAAGCAATGAGTCGATCGATATATACTAGCGGCTCTAATGAACAATTTATCACACGACCGAGGCCCCAGTGGCGTATTTTACTTAATTCTGAAAGCTAAAGCTATTTATATCTAAAAACTTTTTATATTAGGATTATATTAGGAAAAGTGGGATAATGTGGGAAAATAAAAAATCACATCTGAACTTTTCAACAAAAAAATTCATAGATAAATAAGTAGAAAAAATTTTACCATTGTATTTAACGAATTCATGGTACCGGAAGCAAAATGTAACAATCAATGCTTGACAAACCGCATAAAATGTTCCGTGACATAAATCCCCCGCCACAACATTGGATGAAAGATCAAATGCTTGGTTAACGTAATTATGACACCATTTCATTAATTTTTCCATCCAATACATCGATGTTCTGTTGGAAATAAAAATTTAGATAAAAAGTGGAAATACTCTAGACATACCACAATAGCAATATAATAAAAATCATTCTAAGGTATAAAGATAAAACAAGAACCTAAAATCAATAAATGCTGCTCTGGACAAAAGACTTCCTAAAAAACATGCAGCTCCATGAGATTTTTTCCAATCATTTATTCTCTGACGTGGTCGATTTATAATCACCCATAATGAATCCATGAATCTTTCCGAGTAATTCTGCAAAAAAACCTATCAAAGAAAATTACCAAGAGTAAGCATTAAAAGCTAAATATGCTGATTAGCGAATATTTTATATTTTCATAGCAGTAATAAAAAAGGGCACTATCCAGTAAAAAATCCTTGGTTAGTTTTAAATCAAGATTTTTTTTACTTCTTTTCTGCATATTTTTTCCAAGTTTTTCATTTGATATTACATAATAAGATGTTGTAAGATATTGCATAAGGTATAAGATCAGATGAAACATATTACATGCAGAATTACATACAAAAAGCCATCTCCCATAGTGCTACATTGTTAAAAACTGATTGTATCATTATTCCATTAAGAGATGATTGATGTCATGAGTAATTTGAGTCCTTTCCTTTAGTCTTAATATGGGTGTTGGTTTATCAGGTATGAAGTTAATGGGAAAGAGATGACGATATACATATTTCCATAAAAAAAGTATTTCAGCCATGCAACAGATTTCATAAATCAATTGAAAACTGAATAAATGATGTGAATATGAACACAGATGAAATGGAATCTGATTTGAACTTGAGCGGTTGTATTGCTATTCCGCTTAATTTTTTTTTCTGAATATCTCTTATCTATAAAAAAAAATATGAACTACGAACTAAATTTTTTCCCTTTTTCTCTTTTCTTTTCTTTTTCTAAATTTAAAAACAAGGAACTGAAATAAATGGAAAAATATATATATAAAATTTATAATAATATAAAATAAATAATACTATAAAATATTTATGTCTGTTTTTGATAGGAGGAAACCTGTCGTGTCAAAAATCTGGGTAGTTGCTGGGGACCCACCTATAATTCTATCCCCAAGTGAATCTATGGTGAAAGGGTGAGATGTTCTTGATACGGCGTCCGCACATGATACTCCTAGCCCGGTGGTATATGCGATAAGTATACAATCCGAGCGTAAAGCGATCCCAAGGATGATAAATAAAATGTACTCGCAAGCCAGAGTAATTGCTCGAAATCTGTCAAGGGGAAATCTGTCAAACAGCTGTCTGCGTGCGCGGTAAGGTATTAGTCATATTAGCGTGGAACATCAGAACACTTATGGACGATGAAAGTCAAGCAATCACTTTTTATACCCTTTCTAAATATTGTGTGAAAGGCGTCAGCTTGTCGGAGGTTTTTCTTTCTCATTTCTGGTCTCGAGTATTTGCTAATCCTAGCTCGGAGCAGAAATGCTGGTGCTATATCAATGCGGTGCTTCGAATAACTCGAGGCGAAATGGCGTAGCAGTTGTCATGTCTGATAAAGCCCATTCGCTCTGATTGAATGGAAACCGGTAAGCGAACGTATGGCCTATGCCCATTTTAAAGGTAATTCTGCAATATCTCGGACATCAGTGTTTATGCCCCAACTCTGCCCACAAATGACCGTGATAAAGATAAGTTCTATGCGGAACTTCAATTGCTAACAAAATTTCTATTGAAGCATAATATGGCCATGCGCTGCGATGACCTCGACAATTGACAAATATGGCATGGGAAACCGGTGCGCCAATGGGTAACGTTTTCTTCTTATGCCGAAAAGCACGAACTCTTGTTACTAATAGTTGCTTCCGGCATCGTAGACAACACCTACTCACGTAAAACTCCCCGGATAACCAACACTTCAGTTTGATTCCATCTTAATCAGTCGTCGTTAGAAGAGTTCCATACTTGATAGTCCTATCGCGGAGGTGAAACGGACAATCTAACCAAGCTATGGTTCGAGCTAAGATTGCATAAAATTGACAACTCATAAAACTGCATGCCCAAGGTTCTTCAACCATCTCAAACTAAAAAATTCGGAGACAGTGAGCACATTTCAAATTGAATTATTGAAGCATATCAATGATGCCAAAATCAATGACTTATCTGGAACGGTAAATAAATACTGGTCCAAACTAAAAGAATGCTTCTGAAAGTCAACCACTTCCACGTTAAGGCATAGTAGTAGAAGATGTTTTAGTTGGGTGTCGGAAGTAACCGTCCAATTGTCTGGAAAAAACTGCCAAAGTATGAATGTCAGGTGATCCTGTCTACCGCATGCTTCGAAGATTTGCAACGAAAGCAGCAAGGCGGGACAGAAATCATTGGAGTGACATGGCCTCAAGAATGGAGGCGGCGGCTCGATTAGGCGATAATAAGAAACTATACCGTCTTCTTCATAAAGCAACTATAATTTGGGGAACGATCAGTGAAATAATAAGAGACAGCAAAGTCATGCCCATCAAGAGCATTAAGAACCGCCTCATGAGATGGAAAGAATTCTTTGAGGCCAAATTTAACTATGAAGCACCTCTGATACCACAGATATGAACCATACGCTTGCAATTGCGAGCCACCAACAGAAGGAGAAATAAGAAGAATAAATAATCTCCGTTATCCATAAACTTAAGACGAATAATGCTCCGAGATGGTCTTCGGGGTGAACTTTTCAAATGTTGTCTATTGTCCTCCATAATGCATCTTTAACAAATGTACTTTCTAATATGGGAAAAAGAAATATTACCAGATGATTGGAGCAAATCAATTCTGCTCACAATTCTCAAAAAAGATGATAGTTCATACTACGACAATTATCGAGGAATCAGCCGACTAAACGTCTCAGCAAAGATTTTTGTTTCCCTTTTATTCAGAATTATGGAAGTACGGAACAGCATGATGCGTCCTAATCAAGCTGGATTCAGATCGAGATTGTGCTGACCAGATATTCACGTTAAGAAGGGTGTTGGAACATCGCTTCAGATATTTCTAACCCACTGTCACATATTTCATCGACTTTGCAGCTTTTGATTCAATTGATAGAGCGTAGCTTTGAAGGGTGATGGAATGCAACGGTGTTCCAGAGAAGATTCGACTCATAAAGGCATTTTAAGAGCGTACCTCGGCGCAGATATGTGGTATATGGGGAATCGACAGATTCCTTCGAAATAAGAACAGGGGTCTGTCAGAGCTGCGTCCTTTGCCCCACAATATTCAACTATGCGATAGACTGGATAATGGACACCTTGTCGGCACTTAAGAGGTGTTCAAACCAGTCCAGAGTATCATATCACAGATCTTGAATACTTGAAGATTTAATCCTTTTTGCTGATAATTATGACGAAATGTGAATAATACTAAATAACGTGTCAGCAACTGCAGCGAGAATTGGACTCAGGGTCAATATAAATAAAACGAAAGTCTTTTCGTCTTATGTGCACGAAGCTGATAAAATGCCTTTTTTTAATAAACTCATTGCCTGTTGAGAAAGTGCTCAATTTTAAATGCCTGAGCACCAGTCTAATACCAAATGACGTAAGTCAAAGACGATATTATAACCAGGATCACGGCAGCTAGAAATTTATTCTTCCAGTTGACGAAACCTTTATGAAGCCATCATAAAATCACCATAAAAACGAAAGTCTGCATCTATATAGTTCTGAGACATGGTTAATGAGAGAGGAGGATTAAAAAGTTATCTTCCTTTGACCACTCTTGTCTAAGGTACATATTACGGATCCGTCGAGAGGATAAGATATCACAAGATCGCATCCATCTTCGTTCAAGTACCATTTACATTAATAATGTTATCACATAAGGTCACCTTCGCTGGTTAGGGCACGTCGTTCACACGACAGGAGTTGACGCATATTTCGTTAAACCGTATGATGGATGGCGTCAAAAGCGAGGTGTGCCAATCAAGACCTGGAATGGTACAGTAAAAGAAGATTTTGAACGTATAGATGGACCAACAATATATAGACGATGGAAAAAGGAATAGCTTCTATTACTGTCGACGATGGCATCAAAACCCGCCGCTTGGAAATGTCTTACCTTTGTAGCAGTAGCAGCTAATCAATAATGGTGAGAGCTGTTAGAAGAAAAAGAAGAATGTGAATAGAAATTCTCCAATGAATAATGAAACATCTGTGCCCTTCGTTCCAAATTGCTCTAGCGTTGATGCAAAAGAAAAGTGCAAATTTAAAGGTTGAAATGTTTTGTAGTTCGGCGAAATAAGTACTGATGGATATGTCGAGCATTCTTTTTGGGCAAAGCATGCAGAAAATTAGTGGACCTGCCTGCCATAATCTAGTAGAACTTACATTTGTGCGAACGTATAGCGACAGAATGGAATCTTGTGTGGATGATTTACCCAGTGCTTAACAGACAGTGAAAAAAAAGGAAGATTAAAGATAAATATGCATTATTTTCTTTAAATCGCACCTTCTTTAAGCTACATAAAAAAAACCAGAGAAATGGAACACTTTGGACATGGTGACTCATTAAAATATGCTCCACGAATGCTTTCGACATGTCGACCCAAATGCTTTCACTACCTTCAGTCCTCTCCAACCAAAAACGGTCAAAAGCTGAAAGTATTAAGATTCAATGGAAAGAAATAAGGGCATTATATTAAAAAAATCCAAAAAAAACGCTAAATTTAGCCATAAAATAAAGCGATAATGAAATAATTTGAACCTGATGCAATGCTTATTCCTCGCGATTTGGCTATATAGGCAAAGGCATACCACATGCATATATCTAATTTCTGTTTCCTTTCATTATTCTGAACATTCTGAAGTATTTTTCGATTTGATCCTTCATTACCCTTAATATTTGGTATGATATTGATGCAATTCACGAAAAAGATATAAATTTTGATTATTAATGACTAACCATAGAAAAAATACCATCAATTTCACTATTATTAACATTTTCATCAAAAAAGATTGATTCGAAATCCTTAGAAATCACAGCCTGGAAAAAAAACTTTTCTTTAATAGTTTGATAACTTTGGTAATTTTAATCTAAAAAACAATTCAACTTCAGGAAATCTGATTTTTTATTTGAAACAAAATTCACTTACATCCATTTGAATAAGATGTTCGATTATTATTGACCAAAGTTCAGCACGAATGTTGGGAGAATAATCCATGATGCAGAAAATATTTTTCACATATTCCGTATATCGAAGAGTCGTTATCGAAAAATGAGGGTAGGATTTTGCCACCTTATTCTTAATATGTTTTACAGCCCTTAAGCAAAATGAATAGAAATTAATTTTCATATAACTAAAAATAACTGGTAATGACCGAAAGATGAAAAAGTTAAATTTTTCTAATTGAATTAATATAATTCGCAAAAAGATTTTGGAAAATTGGACAAAAGAAAATATAAATTGAAAATTAAATTAATATACCATTATACCATACCATTTAATGAAAATCTAATTATAATTTAATGATAATCTAATTATAATTATAATTTATTTAATCTAATTATAGAAAAAATACCGCTAATTTCACTATTATCAATATTTTAACCATAAAAAAATTAGATTATTAGTTCTTAGAAAATGTATATGCAATAAAATCAAAAAGAAAACGGCTAAACTATAAAAAGTCAACAGAATCTGCAACGGATTATTTTGATTAACGACATGAAACTTACATAGGATAACATTTAAGAATAAAAAAAAGTGAGGAATGTGCCAATTCATACACATGATTCTGTTCATCATCCCCAACTGCAAGACTGATCACTTTATGCTTCGTCTGTTCAGCAGTTCTTTCTATTCCGTCATATAAAAATTAAAATTTTATATAAAATGAAATAATAAGAAATTAAGGTTTTATAAGAAATTCAATTTTTAGGTCAGGCAATTTTTTGGTGATCTAGTGAAATATTTATAATTAGGAAATGTATCAACTAAGTCAACAATGATCAAATAAAAAAAATAAATAAATCATTATGGACTAAAAACTAGCAGATTTTAAGATATAACAATTAATAAATTATGAAATAATCTTATAATCTTGACAATGTTCCATTGACAATATTATTGCAGATCTATGTATTCATTGTCTCTACTATCATCCTCATATTTATCTAGTGAGTTTATAAGAATAATGGAAAGTATCAATTAATATTGAAATACTACTCGATTTCAATTTCCGCTAATAACGCAGTGTCTACTTTAGTCATAAGATATGCCATTGATTCCATATGAAAATAATTTAAACACAAAAAATTCAGGGAAAAAATGCCAAAAAATGGATTATTCAAGAAATCTGTATAATGAAATACCTTCTGCTTCTAACGTAATCACAATTCTAGGAATGAACTGTTCAATACAACATTCAATAATCAACTCCGTATGGCAAATATGTTGTAAAGCGATATTTTGTAACAAATTAACAAATTTAATTCGATTTTCCCGACCAATTATCGTCCAATTGATAGCCTAAAATTAAAAAAGAAGAAATGAAAAATATTTGTTACGAAATGGATCATAATAAAAACAAAAAAAAAAAATAAAAGGATATGCAAAAGAAGAAAAATTCTAAATATATGGACTTGCCGTTAATCTTCTAACAAATGCTGAACATCGTTGATCGAGATATTTACCAAGATCGACGAATTCTAATATAAAATTATCAATTTTTTCTGCTGTCCAATTTTCCATTGAATTAAGTGCTTTACATAAACTGTCATAGATAACAGTATTATTACTTCCTTTTCCCTTAATAAAACCATATTTCTTATTGAAAGAAAAAATTCACAGAAAAGCTAAATGTAAAATAAAGAAAAAAGCTGTGAAAAGAACAAAGAAATAAGAAATAAAAATTTTTAAAAAAGTACAAACTATTCAAAAAACCTTGAAAAAATTGACAATTGTTGATTTGTCCATGAAAAAGGAATTCTCTTCCTTTCCCATCATAGAAAAATATGAATAAATCACTGAAACTTTATTTGCCAAAAAAATGACTGATGACAAGTTCAAATCAAAATCGAGTGCAGTGCAGAAAAATTAAACCACGGGTATGCCTATGGGCTTAACGAGTAGATTAATAAAAGCTTAGGCCCAGGCGTGGAACTCGCTGGCACATCTGCTTGGCCCGACAAGCCAGCCGAGCGAACTGCCTTCGAAAAAAGGCGAGTCAAAAAGAGCCCTTCTGAATGAAAGAAATACCGCAAATTAGCTTTCAGTTTCGATTCACTGCTTCGCTTACTTTTCTCAAAGAAAAAAAGCCGAAACCGAACGATTCTTCTTAAAATAAATGGAAATTTTTCCAATTTAAAAGAAAATTAAAAATGACTAAATTTAAAAGAATTTAAGGGAAATTTTAATTCGAAGAAGTTTAGGAGAAATTTAGAAAATTTGAAATAAGTTTTCGCCTTAAAATAAAGTAAAACGATAAATAAGAATAAAAACAAATATTTTAAAACATTTTACTTTAATAAAATAAAGAAAATCGACGGCGACAAGAAGACTTTAGAACGAACAGAAAAGGGGCGTTCCCAACTCGGCTACTACAAAGCGGTTCAGACTTTTTAAAATCTTTTGCAGCAACTGGTAAAATACCACCGAAAAAAAAGAAATTTTAAGAAGAAAGCATTGCGGATTTATCTGTCGAGTAGTATGTCTAAATAGCAGGCTCGCACATGAAGAAATTGTAAGTATTTTATTTCGATGGTATTTTACCTGATTTTGTGTTAAGAAATTTCATATATTTTAACGGCCATTGTGGGGGGTCTCCAATGTCGACGGGAAGTGAGCAGATATATAGGGGGGTGGTTATTATTTGAGCCGGGAAATCCATGAATTCCCAAGCTTAAGATTGCCGTTAAGCTTTAACGTTGACAATAAAAAAGCAAAACTGCGAAAACTATGGAAATCGCTTTTTACCAGCGCATGAGAGCCATCAGAATCGATTTAGCGACAGATATTTGCTACGTCGGTTGAATTTTTAAAAAATGTGCATGAAATATTCGACGTAGGTGATTTTGCTTCGTTATGAGTGATTATGCATTTATCGTTCGCATTCCTTGCTACATCTCTTCCTTAAAATAAATCCGAATAACTCTGCGGAGCCACTTTTCCGCAAGTTAAAAAAGCGGTCTCAGCCAATTACTAACATCCAGTGGAGCCAGCTGAAGGAAGAATTTTCACTGCGACTCGTGTTTTGTCGAAATTGTTTTCTTAACTTTTTGGACATTCTGTCAAGTCTTTTTTCTCGTTTTGCATATGATTTTGTATTAACATTAGTAACGAATAATATATAATAGAAAGCCAAAAAAGATTAATGCAATATAAAAGTAAAAAGACAAATAAAAATGCCAATATTAGGCGAATTAAGGATGAATTTGCTCTAGGTAATCACTAATGGATGGTACTGTTTAATTTATTTTGAATCTATTCCAGTAGTTGATGCTTCGAATAAAGAAATCCTAAGAGATCAGCTTTTCGTTCATATTTGCAGTCCATTATTCCTTATATAATTCAAATTTAATGAGGTGTCATGTTTCGTAAAGTGGAGATCAACTGAACCAGAAATAATTATTAAAAAGATTTGTTTGGCTCTTCTTACCCTTTATGAATCTAAATTATAGAGTTTTGACCTATAACTGATTGTAGGATTGATTTTAGACGGTGCAGGAAATATCTCTGCAGGCTAACCTGAAGGAGGAACATATTGTGTGGTGTCTTTTAAGATGGGGAGGAACAAGTCTTATGTCAAATCAGATGATAAAAGCAATTTTTGTCTGCCATTCTTCAATAGAGATCAAAATTATCGACTGCGATTATGTTGGTACTCCAATATTCTTGATGAAAAAGGTAGGGATGAATAAAGTTCTTTTTGCACATTATAAATGGCTGGATGGTTTCAGTGACTGCGAGTTAAGGCCTTTCTATGTAATGCTCTATCATCATTCTGGGATATATCTCTGCAGATCTTAAATGTGATTAAGTCTTCTCGTGTTAAATCTCTTTCATTATTCATTATTTTAACGTTGTCTTTCCTTCAGTTGAAACGTTGATAAATGATTAGTGATATCGGGTGTTAACTGGTAAAAAGATTGGTTCCTTAAATGTACCAAAAAAATGTAATTAAAAGATTTTAGGAAACGACAGGAAAAAACCAATAGTTATGTATCAATCGAAATTGCTCATAAACAAAGAGCAAAAAATTTTAAAGTTAGAGCTAACTTTCTAGCAAAGCTAATAGGTATTGATTTTTTAAAAGTGCTTAGATTAATTAAATTCAAATTTTAGTTGAACGAACATTTTTCATAGAAAATGTGAATTTTTTCGTTCTCAATTTTCAACTTTCTATCTAAAAAGAATAAAAAATATATTTAAAATATATTTTAAAAAAATGAAGAATTCCTTCAAATCAATTGAATGTTAATGAATAACTTTTAAATAATTTATTAACATTACTCGTTTGCGACAAGGAATTTTATTTAGTCATTCAATTTCGTTCATTAGTGACTTATTTCAGTTGATTTTAGTATGATAAAAGGGACAGTTACTTTGAAATAGATAAGTCCACTATTAGGATTTTTTATTAATTATTTTTTATTTTGATTTGGTTTTGTCAGAAGAAAGGCCGACCAATAACGCCTCTAATAATCTTAACAATACGTCACTTGGCCATGCTATATACATTGTTAAATAAATTCATTTATTGTTATAATATAGTGTAATATAGCACATGAATAGTGTTATTTATTATAAATTGTTGTTAGTACAAAAGTAAACGTATCATTAAGAAGTGAGGGTGGTGGCGACCATCCATTTTCATTTCTATCGCAAAGTTACTAGCTGGCGAAAATTTCGAATGTGTTAACAAGCAGAGAACCAGAAATGGTGATCGCTTCTTTTTGCAACAGCTCGCATGATTACAAGTTAAGCTGACTGAAGGCGTAGACGCTTCCAAACTGCCCGAGATCTTTTAAGAAGCCACTCTTTTTTCCATCGTCAAACCACATATATGGCTGGATCGCCTATACTTTCAAAATTTCTTTTAAGCTCCAGGCCTTGGTTGGTCTTGATTAGTTCTTGCTCTGTTTGATGTCATTCATCGCAGGCTTAGCAGCAGCGATTAGGCTGCAGAGAACATGGCACAACGAATGCAGGCGCTCTGAAGGTAAATGAAATCGTACGAGATTTTATTCACTCGGCAAGCAAAATATATTTTAGACTTGAGTGGTCAAAGACAGCTTCTTGCCATCTTCCAATCCCATTAGCCGTGTTTGTGATAGTTTGGCTATTAGTGCTGATAGTGCGCAATGCGACGAGATTTTTTTTATTTATTATTGTATAAGAGAGTAAAATGTAGAAGAGATATTTCTCTTCATCGAATACATCTCGTTGGTTTTCCTACGAAGTTCTATCTAAACAACTTTCCGTTTCACTTCTTTTTGTACTGTTTTTCTTTTCAACGAAAGCTGGTTCTTTCTTCTTTAATAATTTCTTTTTTTATATAAATTTCTAAATTCGTAAGTTTGTCAATTATATTAGTTTATGCGGTAGGTGAAATAATATTTATTCCGGTTCATTCCAATCGGCTTAATTCCTTCCTACAGCGCATTACCGTTAATGGTTAAGAGGGCTCCACTGGCTACAAGAATGGTGACTTTTTGAGTCCTCTCGATCTGATGCCAGTTAGTGTTTGTAAAATAAAAAATGTAGTAGAGGCCAACTAACGCTCTATATCGCTGAGTTATCTGAGCCGTTCAAAATACTCTTAGCTGCTTCGGTTTTGGTCACTATCCATCACATGTTTGTTGTTCGACAATGGTATTTATCAAGAACAGCAAAGCATAATGGTGCCGCGCTTCATAACTTGCTGTGAATTTTACCTGATTCCATTCCGAATCGCGAATCTGATATTGATGTACCAGTTACGAAAAGTCAATTATGCCATTAATTTTATCTTATGTTACCCTCAGTTTTTATTTCACATCCTTTTCTTTTAATTTTATAGTGAAAAATATAAAAAGTGAATGAAGTTTTTCGCTGTTATACCTATCTACACTAAGAATATTGCGGCTCGAAGCAATTCTCTTTATTCTCTACATTTCTATATTTTAAAAAACAGTTGCTAATTGATAAACTTTAAGGTTTAAAATTTCTCGAGAAATTCAATGGATAATGACTTATTACGATTTTCCTACTCGTCTCAGAATTTCATCATAATTCCATGAATTCCATTCCTTTTCTATTTTATTTATGTAAAGATTGTGTTTTCCGAGTACCACTGAGATTTCAACTTTAGTTTATTATTATTAAAGAAAAAGTGTTCTGAATCCATGCTGAATCTTATCGTTGCGCAAAATAACATTCCCTCATATTTGTGTGCAAATTTTGGATTTATTTTTTAGAGTTTTTGTATTCAAAGGTAGAATTATTATCGCCATCAAATTTTGCTTTAGTCATTTTACTACTTATAAAATATTATTTTTTTATTATGTTGTTTTTAGAAACGGAAAAAAACGAATTGTTCGTTATTATGTCGATTCGTCTCGTAAAACTTCCAGTTTTCAATGCTGTGAGTGTTTTTTGGTTTTATAGGATTGTTTATAAATATTAGTACTAATCAATTCTACTGCTTTCGATGCCTATTAATTCGATTCAGAATTTTAACCAAGGAATTAAATTGTAGCAGCCATTCGACTATCTCTGTACTTTTTTTCGCCTTTCAGTGAGTTAAAGAATTCGATGCAACGAAATTATTTATAAAATAGCAGTTATGATACAGCAGTGATATTAAATGATGTACTGAATTAATAACTAATTTAGGGCTAAAGGAAGGCTGTATGCTTGTATGGGCTAACATATAAGTCGTTTTAGGAAGGTCAGAGACCGCAGCATAATGATTTCGAGATTTCAGCATATGTTTTGTTGGCAATCTTCTTCCAGCAGCTCTCACCATTACTGGTTAAATTGGCTGCACTGGCTACAAGGGTAAGACTACAAGGCTACATCTTCAAGCTGTTCAGTCCGATCTCTGACTGTAATAGAAGCTGTTCTTTTTTCTACTGTCTAAATCCCTATATCGCTGTTTCGTCCATACTTTTAAAATCTTTCTTAATCAGTCCAGGTCTTGATTGGTACTCGCTTTTGATGGCATCTGCAGGGATAGCAAATAACGAAATATGTGTCAAATCTTGTGGTGGGCGATGGAGAACATGTCCTAACCACGCTTTATGATGGTATTGTTAATGCTGGTGGTATATGAGCAAAAGTATGCAGATATGTATGATTTTATCCTCCCACCCCATAAAATGAAGTCTAAACATAAATAGTTAAAGGCAGTTAGCTTTTTAATATTCTCCACTCCACACTAGCCATGTCTCACAGTCATATCGAGCAAACTTCAATTATATGATCGCGGACTTTCGTCTTTATGGTGATTTAGCGGCCGCCGCAGAAAAGTTTCGTCAACTGAAAAAACACATTTCTAGCTGCAGTTATCTAGATCAAATTTAGATTTTTAGATAGATTTTTAGTTAGATTTTTTTTTCTTTTGCCTTCATTTTTAATTACAATGTAATTGGAGATATTTAAAGTCTGGCACTTCATCATTAAATGAATCGATGAAAATAGATATTTTATCAGCTTCTTGTGCGTTCTGTTACGTATAACTTGATGTAATAATAATTTTGCCCACTACGACCGAAAAAGCAATTGATGACGCTTAATTGAAGTGCAGAGTTTCTTCAATTTTTAATAATTTTTTATAAAGTGATGTGGAGGATCCGCTGGACAATGGTTTATATTAAGGGGATATTATTTGACTTTACAAGATGATTCTTTACTTTAATAACAGTTAATCCTGCTAAGGGTTTCCTTAATCGAACCTTCCTTTATGTCGTTTTGCCGTTAACATGCCACTCGATTACTCTATAATTATTTAATTTTTTTTGAGAATCCTCATCACTGGTTATACTCGCTCCACTGGCTTGTGGCAATTGATCAATATGCCAGAGAGGTGATTAGATCCCTTGGTGATAGAGATATAGATCGCCAGCATCAACCGGATTTTTGTACAAGTTTATTTCTGCGGGGAACCGAACCTCAGCATCGGTGCTCCCAATCGAACATCAGCCCACTGAGCCATTCTATCCCCAATTATTTAATTAATTATAATTGTATTAAAAAATAATTATTTTCACCAACCTATGTTTTATTTTTAATTTGACATAAATTGTCTCAAATTAGTTTTTCCCATTTCCCATTTTTTGCAGCATCGTGCGCTTTCATATTCATATAGTCGTTTCCATGATTACCAGTGGCAACCAATTCATAAGGAATGGGCTGAAATCGCTAAAAAAGCTTTGAAAGGTAAGGAGGCGAGTGATTTAATTTGGCACACGGCGGAAGGTATTGATATTAAGCCATTGTATACTGCGGAAGATAGGGAATGCGATGTTGGCAAGAAAGCTGAGGTTATTTTTCCTTTTATTTATTTAAGCCATAGCGTTCGGTCTGAAGATTTCCACTATATATATTTATTTTTTAAAGTTATTAATGTCGGAAATAAATATTTTTCATATTATATTTCACATTATATTTAGTTGCCCGGAAGTTTTCCATATACTCGTGGACCTTATCCGACAATGTACACTCATCGACCATGGACAATTCGTCAATATGCTGGTTTTTCAACTGTTGAAGAATCGAACAAATTTTATCGTGATAACATCAAAGCTGGGCAGCAAGGCCTTTCTGTAGCTTTTGATTTAGCTACTCATCGGGGGTTCTTTCTATCAATTTTTTATTTTCATTTTTTTCGACATAAGATATAAATTTAAAGTTGCAAATTTATAAGATATAAGATATAAATTTTATAAGATATAAGATATAAATTTTGTTCAAATTTTTATTATTTCAATTTTGCTTAATGAGTTATGGCAATAAAAAAAATGAATATTTTAAGACGCCATAAATTTTTTAAAATCTTTTAAGTTCTTTCCATTTTTTGATTTGATTTAATTTACTTTTTTTTCAGTTATGATTCCGATAATCCACGTGTATATGGTGACGTTGGTATGGCTGGTGTAGCTGTCGATACGGTAGAAGATATGAAACGACTTTTCGAAGGCATTCCATTAGATAAAATGTCCGTTAGTATGACGATGAATGGTGCAGTTATACCAATTTTAGCAATGTTTATCGCTGGTGCTGAGGAAACGGTGAAGATCTTATTAAATACATGAACAAAAATTTTGATCCTACGAGTGAAGGTCAGTTTAATTTCAGGGTGTTCAACGAAAACAGTTGGCAGGTACAATTCAGAATGATATCCTGAAAGAGTTTATGGTTCGCAACACATATATATATCCTCCAGCCCCATCGATGCGAATTATTGGCGATATTTTTGCATATACAGCTAAAGAAATGCCAAAATTTAATTCAATCTCGATAAGTGGTTATCATATGCAGGTTATAATCTGCGAAATCAGTCTAAATCATTAATCCAAAAAAAAGGAATAGAATATTCTCTGTTTGGTGTTTTATTGAACAATGATACGAATGAAAATTCATAAAAGAAATCATCTCTGAATTATATTTATTTTTCTTAGAATTTTCAGGAGGCTGGCGCTGATGCTGTTCTTGAGATGGCGTTTACAATTGCAGATGGCATACAGTATTGTCAAACAGGATTAGATGCTGGTCTAAAGATTGATGCTTTTGCTCCTCGATTATCCTTTTTCTGGGGCATTTCTATGAATTTTTATATGGTATTTTTTAGAGATAGCAGTTATCTTTTAAATTATTGTAGTCTTTTAAATTAGTGTAAATTGGTGGTTTATATAGGAGATAGCGAAGATGCGTGCGGGCCGTCGACTTTGGGCTACATTGCTTAAGGAACGCTTTGATCCCAAAAATCCGCGTTCTATGATGTTGAGAACACACTCGCAAACTTCCGGATGGTCACTTACGGAACAGGTTTGTTGCGAAATTTTTGTTTATTGGCTTTGTAGAAGGTTATAAATAAAATAATATATAATCAATTCATAGTTAAGGATCCTTATAATAATATTATTCGTACCACAATCGAGGCAATGGCATCTGTTTTTGGTGGTACGCAATCACTGCACACCAATTCATTCGATGAAGCACTTGGTCTTCCAACTCCATTTTCTGCCCGTATCGCCCGTAATACCCAAATCATTATACAGGAAGAATCGGGCATATGCAAGGTTAATTAAGAAAATATATTATGTGGTATTGTTCTGTGTTGTTTATCAGTATATTTGAGATCATTATAGGTCGCTGATCCATGGGGTGGCTCATATATGATGGAATCATTAACCGATGAACTGTACAACAAAGCTAGAAAGGTTTTATGTTTTTTAAAATATTCTTTCTAATATTGTTAGTGCGTTTTAAGATATTCTTTTTATCTAATCAAAATATATAAAATTGTAGATTATTGAAGATGTCGATAAGTTAGGTGGAATGGCCAAAGCTGTTGCCAGTGGTATGCCAAAACTTCGAATTGAAGAAGCTGCTGCGAAGAAACAAGCCCGTATTGATTCTGGTAAAGAAATTATTGTTGGTGTCAATAAATATCGGTTAGAAAAGGTTGATTTTTTCTATATTTATGTTTTTGAAGTTGAAAAAGGTATCTAATTTTTTTTCGCCATGATAGCGAATTAAGGATATTTATAGAAAAAAATATATTTTATTCAAAAAATATTTCAAATTTAGGAGGAATGTGTCGAAGTATTGCATGTGGATAATGCTAAAGTACGTGAAAGTCAGACGGCCAAATTGAAACATATCAGAGAGACAAGAGATGCTGTTAATATTTTAATTTGCCATCAATTTTTCTTTTATGATTGCAAAAAATTTTTAATTTTAATTAATTAATTATTAATTGTGATTAATTCTGACCATGCGAAGTTTACTAGAACCGAGCCAAAGCAGCTTTGGACCGAATTACGGAATATGCAAAAGGTGATGGAAATCTTCTAGAGGCAGCAGTGGAAGCAGCTAGCGCTCGTTGTACTGTTGGTGAAATTAGCGATGCAATGGAGAAAATTTTTTCTAGGTGCTCTTTTGAAATAAATAAAAAATAAAAATACTTTGATCTTCCTAATTCAATTTATAAAACACCTTTATTTTTAGGTATGCAGCAACTATTCGCATGGTTAGCGGTGCATATAAATCAGCATTCGGTGAACATAATGAAATCGATGAAGTCATGAAATATGTATATATTTCTTATCTTAATCTTTATCTTATTCTTATCTTTATCTACTCTTAATCTTTATTAATTAATTATTTTTTGTTTATTATTTATTAAATATTAAATAGTATTAAATAGTACTTTGTATTTAAAGTTTATAATCGAATTTGTTTTCATTTTCCAAATTCACCGAAAAATGATAAATTAAGGTCAAAAATTTTGCTAAGAAAGAGGGTCGCCAGCCGCGTATAATGGTTGCAAAGATGGGACAAGATGGACATGATCGAGGAGCAAAAGTTATTTCAACAGGATTTGCTGATCTTGGTTTGAATCCATATTCCCTTTATTGTTTTACGAAACTACAAATTTAACTAATTCATTTATTATTTAGGTTTTGATGTTGATGTGGGACCACTTTTCCAAACACCGGAGGAAGCTGCACAACAAGCAGTGGACGCTGATGTGCATGTGGTCGGAGCAAGTAGCTTGGCAGCTGGTCACTTAACTCTTGTGCCTGCTTTAATTGAACAACTGAAAAAACTTGGGCGACCGTATGTTTTTTAAATTGAATTTCCTATTAAACTATTTGCTATATTAATATGATTTCATTTGTTATTTACTAATTTTTTTCCTAAGTCCAAAATATTTTTTTACAGTGATATACTTGTAATTGCTGGGGGAGTTATTCCTCCACAAGATTATGATGCTCTTTATAAGGCCGGTGTTGCTGCTATTTTTGGTCCTGGAACTCGTCTTCCTGATTGTGCTCTTGAGGTTATTTTATTACTAAACTTAGGACTTTTGAATATTTTTACGCTTAAGTTACTATAGTTTTTTATTATGATTTGAAAAATATTAAGTAAAATATTTCGTCATATTTTTTTATCTTCCTTTAGATTGTGAAGAAAATCGAGGCTGCAATTGAAGCTCGCAAGAAGTCACATGCGCAGGCACCTTAAAATAATTTTTATTTTCATTTGCTGGTTTAATTTTCATCTTCATTTAATTAACCTATGTTTATTTTATATTGCTATAATTTTAGTCTATCTCGAGTCAAAACTACCTTCAATTATATGTTTTTCTCTTATTCACCTACCTTCAGTTTTCTTCTATTCTTATTTCTAGATAGATCCATGTTCAGTGGTATTTGATCCATCTTATTATTCTAGCTGTAATTACAAGCTCAAGGTACATGGATCAGCCGTCAGTGTCTAATTAGATTAAAGTTTAATTTAATCTAATTAGAGTTTTTTTGTGGAATGTTATATTATTCGAATTTTGTTTTTTTAAAAATTTTCATGAAATAATGTAGGATGATATATTTAGTTATTCAAATAAGAATTTAAAAATGGTATATATATATATAATATAATAATAATATAATATAATATAATATAATTATATTAATGGTATAAAACATATGTTGATTTTCGTTTATGGTGATAAAATATTTTTTGATCTAGAACTGTGGAATGACTCATTGGTTCTCATTTCAAAATGATGCTGAGATTTTACTCCTGGCAAGAGTACATAGAGTAAGAGTCTTCCTTTTAAAAGTCATGATGATGCTGACGATTCGTCCTTCTCCAAGAAGTCTAAACTGCTGACAGGCTGTTTGAGTTGCTTTTTTGGGATTTTTTAAATCATAATCGCGGGTGACAATGACTATACATCATTGTGAGAGGATTATTTTTATTGTTAAAAAATCTGAGTTGAATTTGAAATAAGTTTTTGAAAAAATCAGATTATTTAGAATTCGATATGGGTCGCATTTGAGAAAGATGTCTGCTTTTACAAAAACTAATTTCACTAATTAGGTCAGACACGGTCAACTGATCAATCAAGGTCAGTAAATACGTAAATGTTTTTCTTTAGTAAGAACTATGGCTATAAATGTAATTACTGGTCTTGCAGTAGTTTTTGGTGTCTTATGGAATAATCACGAAGCGAGCATTGCTCTTGCGAATCCTGCGAGTTTACTTTCTCCTGAAGACTACGACTTTCGAATAGATGCTCAGGGAAAGCTGATTGGCGCTCCCAAAAGGGCATCAATAAGTATAATTTGCATTTCTTGGAATGGATTATTCAGCAATATTGTGAAATTTAATAAGCTTCAAGGTGTTCCGATCAAATGAACCAAGTTTGTCAAGTATTTGAGTACTTCATTGTGACATAAATCGTGGCAATAAACTTGTCTGTCCGGTCCTATAAGATTTCAAAGATTGTAAGATTGTCATAATCTTAAAATTGAAAGATTTTAATTTTAGTATTTAAGTAACGCCTATAAAAGCGAATGCGATGTTCTTCAGTGAAATTTCTGTCCGGTCCTATAAGATTTCAAAGATTGTAAGATTGTCATAATCTTAAAATTGAAAGATTTTAGTATTTAAGTAACGCCTATAAAAGCGAATGCGATGTTCTTCAGTGAAATTTCTGAGTTCTTTCACAATGGGTTTGTTAATGGAACGATCAACTTCGCACAGGTTATTTTTATTTCATTAAATGTCAATAAATGTGGTGGAAATAAATTTTAAAAAGATTTTCAATCGTTCGCGTCCGCTAAATATTTCGTGAAATTCGTCATTATATCCAATTCTAATCCTTAAATTTCTGTTCATTCCATTTCATAATAAAAGAGAATTATTATTAATCTCTAATCTCGAACACCAGTCGGCTACTACCTTTGTTTCTCTCGCCGTGTGAACTCTGCTAAAAATTTCTGGCTGTACTAAGACCATCATATTCGAAAGCGATGAGCGCTCGCTAATACATTTTAATTACCTACTTTAGAACATTTAGGCAAATTATCCATCCAATCCTGCGACAATGGTAAATATAAACCTAACTTTTCCGAAAGTGGTGCATGATCGGATCTATCGGATTGATATTTTATACAGTGGTTATTTGACGCCCGAATACTGTACAAATGCTAAGCGATATAAAGAGTTCCATTATTTCAAGGTTTAAATAATTTCTGAAAAAATATGGTAAAAAAGAAAGAAAATGAATATCTCCCAATTTATTACTTATATTTAATCATTTAATACAAGATTTATTGCAACTTCATTAATACAAGAGTGGTGCAATTTTTTTTAATTGTCTGGAAAAAGACCTCGCACCAGTCAGTGAAACCTGACAAAATGGAAATGGTAAATTAGCTCATTAGTTAGAAGACGAAGAAGAAAAAAAGGAACTTCGTCTGCCAACACGAATTATTTCCTTATTATCGCAATGGTGGATTTTTTCATTCGATCTTCGATTTCCTCCTAGAATACTCAAATATCATAGCAAAAATGCTATGGAAAAGCTTCGTTATCGTCTCTCTTAATTCTTACTTTTCTCACCACTCACCAGCTGTGAACTTAAATCATTTAATACATTGTATTATAGATGGCGGCAGGAAACGCTTACTATTCAAAAACTTTTAAGACGCGTAATATCAATATCATTGACGAGAATCGCAGCATAATTGGACGTACAGCTCGTATATCAGCAATTCGTCAGAATTTGTCGCTCAAAAATACTCATTGCACTATTATCGGTCGATTAGGTGATTTTTTTTGAGAAAACACCTTATTCTCCCTTTATTGTTGCAGCAAATGGAAGTAAAAAATTCATTTTAACCAGTCGATTTAAAATAAATTTTGAAAACCAACAAAATATAACTTTGGTAAATCAGTAAATCATATCGACTTGAAATTCAAAGCATTTGAAATATTTTTTTGAGTATTTTTGAATCTTCCGAGGAGTCAAAACGAATTTTGTATAGATGATGAAGTTTCCATCGATAAGGACGATACGCTTAAGCAACTCGCATTACAGTTCAATCCTGGATCAGTTAATCGACGAATAGTGCCAATCTTAATTCCTAAATCTGCTTTTATCCCCATTCAATAGGTTTCCATCTATAAGTGCAATGTTACTGAATTATAACGAGTTGTAATGACTGTATACAATATTTATTTAAGATTGAACAAAATAGCTACGGGATTTTTATAAAATTTTTGGGAAAAATTTTAAAAATTAAATTTTAAATTTAATTTTATATTTCAGTTTCTAATTCTTTTGCTTTTTATTTGGCACTTTACTTTTCAAATACAAGTTTTTATTATAATTTCATTACTTCTCTTTTTGCCTTTCCTTTATTTTTGCGCTCGACCTGTTATGTAAAATTTTATTCATATTATTCGATTAATGTATTGTCTGAATAAAAATGAATGCTAAGGTTTCTTGTTCTACGACTTAGAAGGAATATTCCATAATGGTACTTCATACATCAAGCTGTAAAAAGGAATTATATCACAATGTAGCAGCAATAAACAAGTTCTCCAATACGAAACTGGTCTTTATAAAAAAATTAAACTTATGAAATAATTTCCATCTTGCTCATATTTTTAAACATTAAATACGAAATTCTAGTGAAGACAAAATGGTCAAGGTACATTACTTCGATTGAGGTCTAGCGTCAGCAATATGGTTCCTGCCGCTTAAGGCCAGAAAATATCTCATAGTAGCAATTGAAATCCGGACAATATTAGGAACCCTATCCCTAACAATCGATTAGTATTCTAGAAAAAATCCCATCGCGACAGTTAGTGAAGCCAAATCAAAAATGGTGAGTGATATTAGAAGAAGGACGAGCACTAACTGCTAATCGATTACGTACTTTTATTTATCTTGAATCTTGAGAAATGAAGGAAAAAATTCAAGAGAAAATTCTTATCAATCAAAAAATTCATATCTTATCAGTCAAAATCAAGAAATCGCTAAAATAATTATTTGCTCAACATATTTCTTTCATCACCCTTCCAATTATACCGCATGCGATAGGGGTATTTTCGAGCATTTCCAAAGTATGTTCTTTAACTGTGTTGCCCTTTCTCACATTTTTTGGAAATATTGCTAGTCCTCTGCCAATCACGCTATTTCTTCCAACTAGCGATATCTTTGCATCATTTATCACATCGAACTGTAAGATTATTTTTGATATTCGTTAAGTACGGTGTGCTGAAATGCGTTTCCGAAAAACTGACACAATTTATAGCATCATAAAATAACCTTTTCTCCATCAATAGTTCCTAAGTTACCAGCCCGGTGATCAATGCCGTTTATATTTGAATAGGGTATGCGATCTGGATTAAAAATCTTACCCATGTTTAGGCAATTATCGGCCACATTACCCCAATTAAGAACTTTTACGTCATGAGCACCAGATAAACCTGCAAAATCATACCTCGATATTATATATGATCGAGAAAAGAAAAGCGCCGTGCCATTAGTTTTGCACGCGCACGTCAAGATCCATTCTCTTATGATCAGAATGATATGATTATAATTGGTCTCTACAGTATTATTATTATTACCGTGGTCAGATAATTATTATTTCTATCGTTCATTCTATGAGTCAGTTAAGGCTTTTGATACGGCATCACACCATAATTTTTTAATTATCAATAACAACAGCGGTATTATTTAGCAACCTATTTAGTAACTTTTGAATTTTTGATTCATTAAGGAGCGCAAATATCCACTTATTATAATATTATATTATCCTCTGGCCTATTATTATATTATCCTCAGGTGATTTCTGTACTTTATCAGAATGGCTCAGTGGGTTGTTGCTCAATTGGGAACGAAGATGCTGAGGTTCGATTCCCCACAGGAGTGAAACTGTACAAAAATTCGGGTGATGCCGGCGAAACACCTGTATTTAACCAGGGGATTCGCTGGTGTATCGCCCAATGCGACAAGCCAGTGGAGCGAGTTTAACCAGTAATGGCAAGGACTCTTTAAAAAAAAAACACAAGGCAGAAATAACAAATAAGTTAATAAATAGAAATAATCAAGTAAAAATCACTGGTAAATGGCAAGCCAGATAAATGATGGTAAACACGGCACTAAATTTATTTCAGTGGCATTTCAAAATATTAGCGTTATTACGACGAACCGGTTAAATTAACACGGACTGCTGTGGCCGAATTCGCATGTTGCTCTTGCTCGAAAGAAACAAATCCCCTAACTGCACCACCAGAGCTTCGAATCCATGCAATAGCTTTATGAACTAAAATTGTAGAGTGCAACGAGATTGTAATTATGAGATAATACAAATTTTCAACCAACGTATGTAATTCTCGACCAATAAAATGCTTGGTTTTGCCTGTAAAGGAATTATCTCAATTGAAACGAAATTGCATTGGTGAAAATGAAACAAATTCTTAACCTTCATTACAATCTTTGGTGTTATGCGCTTCAATCAGTAGTAAAATAAACGCAAATACAGCGAAAATCACATTTTCTAATTTCCAAACCATCATGAAATTCATCCTAAATAAACTAAAAATTTAAATAATGGTTCCCGGCAGTTAATGCAAATCTCTTCAAAAGCGATTTCAACAGTTGAAAGGATTAAAAAATTTTTAAAAATTTAAAGAAGTTTTCATGCCGGTTAATTACGATGAAATCTTTCTCGCAGAGATTATCGTCAAATACCAGCAATCATGATTAGTGAGTGCGTGAAGTCATTAACGAGCCAAACACTTCATAATGGTTTTCATGTGATCTGTTAGGAACTTGCGGCACTTTCACGCTAATTATACCACAAATTTCAAAACAACAAATTTAGAGCATGCATTATTTATTTATTTAAATGCTTAGTTATTTAAAAACAATCAAGCAGTGCGACAGGCGCCGCCATTTGTTTGCATTATTAACAACAATCTATCAAGTACTAACTGAAAAATAACTTAGCAACATAGGTGCAAAGTGTGACTAAAGATAAGAATTTAAAAGAGACATAAATTGTGGAAATTATTATGAAAGTTCTTAAAAACCAGCATTCCTACATCCAATATGTATCTAATATTAGATAAATATATTGTTATTCAGTTTTCTCTAAAAAGATCCATAAAGAAGCACTAAGCACGAACTAAATCGTTAAGAAGTTTGTTCCAGCATTTCATAGTTCCACCAAAAGACTTGTGTTCCTAAGATTGTTCTGCCAACTATTAGATCATTTTGCATTGAAATTTAGGCCAAGCTCATAATCTTGCAACAGTCCAGGTCGACAGATTACTTTGAACTAGATAACTCATTCTCACTTAGCAAAATTATGATTAGCGCATTCGTCACTAAAAGGTAATTGAAATACTATGCAATAAAAACTAAAAAATATGAATTCAGTTGTATTTCATAAATCAGTTGTATTTAAAAAGCTATAAAAAGGTAATCTTTTTTGATGTCCCCATTTTTTGACCGACTTATCAATTCTTACACCTTATATCATTTCATCGTTTAGAAAAGAAAGATTTTCTAGGAACGTCTCAAACCGATTTATCGAAACTCCACAATGATATCAACAATACCACTGGCATGGCCAATGAATACTGGTTCCAACTGAAGGAATATTTCCGAAATTTAAATAGATTCACGCCAAGATATACCACTTCGAAATACGCCAAATGGGTGTGGGAAGCAACAGCCCAACTACTCGAAATGGCTGCCAGAGCACGCATGGCAGGAGATCCTGGCCATCGAACGTTTCAAAGGTACGCAACGATAAAGAATGACGGGATAGGAACTGTTATTGTAGCGATATGGCAATCTCAATATGGAGATAGTTGTGTCGAGAATTTTCTCAAAACTATGAATCATTGTTTATAAAAATCAAAGGGTCACTTTTTTCTTCTTTTTGAACGTTGTGTGGTAGTGGCTTTTTTTCTTTCTTTTCTTTGCAATATAAACAGTTTTTTTTTAAATTCACGTTTTACCTAAACTATTGTCCCCATATTCAATAAAAATAAAAAAATTATTATATTGTTGTGGTGTAACAGCCTTACAAACCCCGTTCAGTTTAAACGAAAAAGTCACAACAAGTCGTTCGAGTAAGCGATAACAGCAAACTATTCCGAAAACATAATTCGAGATCGATGATCAGTGAAACAATCCGAGGTAATTATGGTCTGATGTACTCAACAATCCAAATTCTTGTGCACTGCAGAATTTTCTGAAACAAATCACCATGGAAACTCCCACAGATCTCAGGTCTTAGGGCTGGAACTCTTCGAATGTTGTCCAACAAATCCTTCACAATTCACCTTCAATGGATGGACTCTCTTGTGCGGAAGAAGGAATTAACCAGATAACTGAAGCAATCCTACATCCAATGCCTAATTGGCAAAATAATCATTATGAAAGCCATTGAAGAATTAACCTATATCACTGGGGAAATTTCCCCTCCTTCTAAATGAACTTATGGCAATAGAGAGCAGGAGATGCATCCTAACCAAACTAGACTCAGTGTGGGTATGCTATCATGATAAAGAGGGCGCTAAAACACCGCATCAAATATCACAACCAGCCGAGCTTTTTTTGCAACTGCCTTCAATGCAATTGGAAAAGAAGCATACAACAGACTAATGGAAAATGATACTGTTGCAGAAATCATTTGACTCATACAGGCATACACTTGCCAAACATTAACAAAGATATATATGGCGGATTCCTTAATAATAGATCCTATATAATAGATTCCTTCGAAATAAGAACTGGTATTCTTTAGGATTGCATCCTATACAATTATGCAATATACCGGAATATAGACATTTGCGAACACTCAAGAGATGGACGGATCAGTCCTGACTATAACATGCAGACTTTAAATACGTTGATAACGCAATGCTTTTTTGACTGTTAATAAAAAAATGTGAAAAGCATTAGAGAACAATTGCAACATGCCTCAATACATGATCCATGTAAACATTCTACTTGACGAGCTAAAAAATAATTTAGTGAAGCAAAAAATATATCCGTCCTCTAGCATTATCTAGGATAAAATTCGTACCAAATAATTCTTTTATCTTACATATCAGAAGCACTCGGTCAATTCAGCATGCGATAAGGCCCTAGGCTTCAAATACTCCGCTTTACACCAAATTGCCGAGCAAAAAACGAAATAGCAGACAACAAATAGAAACTATTTATTTAAGCAACCAAGCAGAGCGACAAGGGCGCCATGTGCTTGCATTAATAACAATAACAAAATAAAGTATAAAATGAGAAAAATTAATGATTGCAATATGACAAAAGGAGTGTGATCAAAAGTTAAGAACGTTAAGAGAATAAAAATAAAGGGGAATTTCAAAGTAAACCAAGTCAAACTGAATGTTAGAAAATCACTTGACAAACGATCAACTTCCTGCATAATATAAAGGTATATTTTTCATGGATGATATATCTAATGTTTTTCGTTGTAGAGATGTTTTTTCCAAATCAGCATTAAAACGAAAGTTCATAAATATTTGGTCATCTCGTAAGATCCATAACCAATGAGAATGAAATAAAAGATACTCAGACCTTTTAACGTCTGACTACTTATGTCCAAGGCATAAGATCACCAACCAGAAACATGATTACATACGCCTTCGCTCAAACACCACCTATCCCCAACGAGCCTATGCCCGACATACAATGTTTCAATTTTTCATTGCAGAAACTGACACAAATCTCGCTACTTGTCAAAAGCGAGGAGGACATACAAAGATTCTGAATATAGAGATTTTGAACATATATGCAGCCCAGCATATAGCTTCTGTTATTCTCTCGTGTGGTCGATCGAACGGAAAACCCCTTGTAGCAAGCAGCGCCAGCCTAATTAATAATGGTGTTGGCAGAAGAAGGCACTATTTTTTGGATTGAATGGAGGAAGGATATCTCGAGCAAGAGTTCGAACCTTCATTTCATTAATGATGTGCAAAACAAAGTTGATTCGACGAATTTTTCAGTAAGTATCGACTAATATTCACACCGCTTCAGATTTAGCGAATTACATTTGTGATTTGCGAGTGCATAATATTCTACTCGAATAATATTAAGAAAAAGATAAAATAATAAATAGCACTGTGTTGATCAAGAATCACAATGAACATAAATACAATAAAATATTAACAAAAAAGCATGACAATCAAAGGCGAAGGCTGATATATCTGCGCTAAATAATATAATATTTTTTTGAGATTAGACGGAAGCTGGCTAAACAAGTAATTTATTCCAGTTAATGCTATAGATGAAACTTTATATGATAAAGTTACATATAGCCGTACCTTCAACGCATAACCTCTAGACTACGCGAATTTAAAGAAAGATCAAAACATTTCATAAAATTTATGTCAACAAAACCAGGCAACATCTTACAAATGTAAAACATATTTTATTTCATTCACCTAACTTCAATGTGATTCCTAGTGCGATGCAAAAAATACTTTTGCATGATTTCAGCTAATTTATTTAATAAATCATCGAGGTTTACAGTATATAAACCGTTACGCTGAAGAAAAACTAAGGACTTATTTTTAAAAGTTCTGAAGAAACAATTTAATTTTTGACCAGAATAAATTTATGGCCACAATTCTGCGATATGATCAAACTTTATCGTTAAGTTAAAAAATATCATTAATACATGACAAGTTCAAATTTATGAAAATTGGTAGACAACGATATTATAGGCAAAAATTGCACGTTATCCAACAGATAATTTAATTCATATGACATATAACTACCTAATCAAATTCAAAACAACTTGTAAAGCAGAACGTACGATCTTTAACCTCAGTAAAACATTACACAATCATACGATCAACGCTTTCAATCGTCTATTTCCTCTGGATATCGATCTCTAACCTAAATTTTCTAATAAAAAATTCAAAAAAGCAACGAAAAAATAAAGAATAAAAAGCCAATTTTAACAATTAACAATAAAAAATATTAATTAAAAATAAAATATTAATATGTTAAAAATATTAATAGTACTTCTAAATTTTCTCCATACTGAACAGCATTATCGATTAAAAATAGAAGATCACTGATAGATTCTTCATCATCTATATTCAATGGCACAAACTTCACCTGCAATATCCCTCCTTTCAAATGAATAAATTTTAAAATGGCATCATTAGTTTTTTTGCAGAAAAAAATGTTTTTATAAAATATTTATATAATATTATAATATTCCAGGTAATATTTTCCAAAAGAATAAACCAAGCTATAATCCTCTAGCACTGAAGCAATTGACTGAGTTAAGCTACGATAACGTTTATTCCACGGAGTTTCTCCATCCATGTCAAGAATAGAATGTGGATCAGTTTCTAAAAACGTATCCAAAAGTGTTTTATCATGTTCGGAAAGTAGATCAATTTTTGATAGCACGTTAATAGATGGAGTCTAAAAATTACATTTTGAAAGAAATAAAAAGAAATATTTGAGAAGATTCTACAATAAACTAACTTGAATAAAAATATCAAATTTTTGGGTTAAAACTGACAATTTACTGAAGTGTTTAGAGTGAAAAATAAAAGCATAATTTATAATTTAAACCATATAAAATAAAATACAAAAACCATATAAAATTTTGTTAACGAAAAATAAGTAAATAAATACTTCAAGAGCAACCATAGTTGAAAGAGTTGTCAACGCTCCACTTAAAAATTTATTTGAATTTAAAACAAAATGAGTATCCAGCAAAAAAACTGTGCAAATATTAAAATCCCATGATTTCAACACATCAGCAATTGAACGCATAACCGGTAAATGACTATACAATTCAATTTGCCCTGAAATTATAAAAATATATAAAGCTTATAAAATTCTGTAGAAAAAATGATATTATTCCTGAGATGGGAAATAATGATTTTGCAAATGCACCTGGACAATCAAATAAATAATAATCATCATCAACTTCATCCATTTGTTCATGAAGCCAATCCATATTCTGCAACAAATATTCCATACAAAAGATAAGTGCACCATTTGGACCAAGAATTAATTCTTTATCTTCCTGTACATCATCGACGCTTATTAAGTCACGAACATCTAAAATATTTTTGAGTATAATTATACAAGAAGAATTAAAGGATGCAAGAAAAATAAAAAAATAATTAAAATTATGGACATGGATAAGAACTAAAAAAAATGCCTAACTTAGCAAAAACTCGAATTTGAATTCTTTCTTATGAAAAAATGCGCGATTTTCGAAAAAAATTTAAAAACACGAAAACTTTACCTATAACTGCTGTATAAGAAAAATTTTCAGCAGCTGGGTCCAGATTCACAATAAAAATAGGCCTTCGCACGCTTTGACAATGCTGCTGAATTAGTGAGCAGTATGTCGACTGAAAATTATCGAAACCATCAAATTGAAAATTTTATTACTTAATAAAATAAGAAAAATCAAAAAAGCACCTACCGATCGATCAGTTTAAGTCAGCTCTTGACTACTATCTTATTTTTAATTCTTAAATCGCTTAATATCGGCAAATCAATTGAATATTTATAAAAGAGAGATGAACCAAAAAAAATTATCGAACCTTTCCACTTCCAGCTGGCCCAACAACCAATTGAGCGTATCTCATTTGAATAACTTATCCAAATTTCACAATGCTTTTACAATTTCAAGTAATTTTCTGAAACCTTTTTCTCTCTCTACGAATTTGTTAATACAGCTCTGCCACTAAGTGTATTCACTTTATATGTTACTTGTTTTTCTTGTTTTCTTTCTCTTAAAATATCTTTCCTCTAAAAAATATTTAGCTGCACAAATTTTTTCTTCGCTTCGCTTTACTATGTATTTATATGAACGAGCGGCGTTCGGATGGTGCTGGCACTCCAAGTATTTGCAGAGACAAGTAACTCCCGGTCTGGCCCGGTAAACCAGCGGAGCGAGCGTATCCAGCAATGCAGGGCTCCAAGAAAAAAGAAAAAATTTGCTTTTGCATCCAAAAAATTAATTGGAAGAATTGTTTTTAATTAATTGTATATAAGTAGTAAGTATAAAATCCATGAAATAAGATTTTAAATTTCAAAAACTTTCGAAAAATTTGCAAATGATTTATCTAAAAAACAGACAATTCCCGAGGAAATATTTGACAACAATTAGAGATATTAGAGAAGGAAAAATAAAAACAAAAAAACCCTCACACCGCCAAGAATATACGGAGAACTGATATGGAACACCAATGATAAATAAATAAATAAATAACAAATAAATAAAACGCAGATAAAGCTCAGTCAAAATACGAAAATCCAAAAACAAATCTTCGTGAGACCCAATATTTCCAAAAGTAACCAAATATCCACCACACCCAATCAAGACATAGCGATTAAAAATTCTTGTATATAAAAACAGTATAAAAACAGACGATTCACCATGGTAGCAAACGCTCTGTCATAAGGGGCGCCGTCAACTGACATCTCTATACTTTTTAATTGTATTACATTTTTATTTTGTTATATTTTATTTTATTATATTTTATATTTTCTAAACCTGGAAATATTGCTTATACATATACGTAGTATCTCATAGAAAACGAAGGGCGCTCAACCGAATGTTGCCGAAGGCCAATTATAAGGACAATAGTAAATGCATTTTCAGAAAATTGTGCTTAATGAAAATTCAAATAAAATTCTAAAAGCAATAAAGAAAAGGCAGAAGAAATGAAAAAACCAGTAAAAAACCGAAAGATAAAAAATATTAAAAAATAATTTTAATTTTATTTCTAAGATAAAAGGAAGAATTATATTTAACCTTTAACATATGAATTTTGTACGCAATCACGAGAAAAAAAAGGAGTGATTTCACTTACATTGTACCGGAGAAAGTCTCATTCTAGCCTCCAGTTGAGCTAAGCAAATCACTAATCTCGCGAGAAGAGCAATCCGAGAAAAATTATTAGTCATTTAAAACATTTGCTATAAATGTATCTAAACGACCGCTGACATTTTTGCAAAACTGTCGAAAATCAGCAAGCATATAATCCTGGAACTCTTCTGTACAACTCCTGAAATAAATACCTATCAATTTCCTTCTTAAAATTGTGATGAAAAAATAAAGGAGCGTAATCAAAAATACCTCAAGGAATGTCTCCAAAAGTCAGCCACTTTTATGCTAGGGCACACTAGTAGGAAGTACGTTAGTTGGGTATCGGAAGCAACTATCCAACTGTCTGAAAAAGTTGTCAAAGCACGAATGGTTCGAAAGCAGCAGATCTGGACAGAAATCACTATTGGAGAGACATGGCCTCCAGAAAGAAACAATACCAGATGACTGGAGCAAATTCTGCTCCCAATCCCCACGAATAAGGACAAATTGCGACAATTATCAAAGAATCAGCCTACTAGACATCTTAGCGAAAATTTTTGCTTCCCTTTCACTCAACAGACTTATGGAAGTACGAGAGAGCAAGATGCGCCCTAAGAAGCTGGATTCAGATCGCAGTTGTGCTGACCAGATTATTCACATTAAGAAACGTGTTGGAACATTGCTTCAGATATTTGCAACCCAATGTTACGTGTTTCATCGACTTTGCGGACGCCTTTGATTCAATTGATAGAGCATCGTTTTGGAGAGTGATGGAACGCGACGGTGTTCCAGAGAAGATCATTCGACTTATAAAGGCATTTTAAGAACGTACATCGGTGCAGATCTGTGTATATGGGAAATTGACAGAGATTCCTTCAAAATAAGAAATGAGGTCCGTCAAGATTATGTCCTTTCCTCTAGTATTTAAAATAGAATATTCAACTCTGCGAGAGAATGGATAATGGACAACCCTTGTCAGCACTCAAGAGCTGTCCAAAACGCAAATAACGCTAAATAACATATAGCGACTACAGCGAGAATCGGACTCAGGGTCAATAAATAAATAAAACGAAAGTCTTTTCGTCTTTTGTGCAAGAAGATGATGAAATGCCTCTTTTTAATAAATTCATTGCCTATTGAACTCGATTTTAAATACCTTGGCACCAGTCTAATACCGAATGACGCAAGCAAAAAACGATATAATAACCACGATCACGGCAGCTAGAAATGTTTTTTTCCGGTTGACGAAACCTTTATGGAGCCGTCGAGAAATCACCATAAAAACGAAAGTTTGCATCTATAAGTTTGCCGTGATCCGTTCGATCTTGCTATATTGCCAATGACAGTGGAGGAAATTGAGAAGTTATCTGCCTTTGACCACTTCTGTCTAAGGTATGTATTACGGATCCCTCGAGCAGATAAGATATCATATAATCGCATCCACCCTCGTTCAAATACCACTTGCATTAATAATGTTCACAAAAAGTCACCTTCGCTGGTTATGGCACGTTCTTCATCGTCCACTACATATTTCGTTATTTGCTAAACCCTGTGATGGGTGGCAAAATCAAAATCGAGGTGTGCCAATCAAGACCTGGACCGATAGAGTCAAAAAAGATTTTGAAGGCATAGGTGGAACAGTAATATATGGACTTAGACGATGGAAAAAGGAATGGCTTCTATTATTGTTGGTGATGATCGTGCCGCTTGGAAGCTGTCTTACTGTTGTAGCCAGTCTAACAATTAATAATGGGAGCTGTTAGAAGAAGAATTAGAAACATCTTCAACTTCTTGACTTTAAATAATTTTCCACTGTAAACAATATTATACTATACTATTACATTAAAATTTTAAAAGTAAGTTCATTTGATATTCCAATCACAACTCAAAATAAAAAAAAAGATCTAACATTTGACTGCGATATCGATGGCTCATCATTGGATTCCAAGCCCAAAGAAAACAATTTTGATTCTTATCGAAGGAGATAAACATACCACCCGACATATGAACGAATTGAGGTACAGGATGCATATGACAATCTATTTCTATAAAGCCAAAGATTTCAAGAATCGCCAATATTGCTTTCGGCAGCTAAAACTGGGAAATATTTAATGATTTTTCAGTTCACATAAAAGAACGCAAAGCTTGAATTTAACTTCGTGAAAGAAATTCCTAAACATAAGGAAAAATTTCTCAGTGGGAAATGCGTGATGATTTAATTAGGTCGAAAAAAAATCTAACATTTTCTGAAGAGATTTTTTCATGTTCAAACGGAATAGAGACAGGACATCGTAATGGGGACGAATTCGGATTGTTTGGCAAGGCAAAAGGGTCATCTGGAGCTGGAAACATATGAAAATTCATACTATTTGCTTTATTGCACCACTGTCTTGCAAGTTCAGCAACCGTTTGCCCATTGGCCATGAACCAACGAATAGAAATTTCAAAAGCTTTATTTGTACAAAAAACTGGATTAAATAACACCTGAAACAACAATAAAAAAGTATAAATATTTTGAGAAAATTTTAATAAATTTCCCCCAAAATATAAATTTAAATATTAAAATAAGAAACTTTTTTCTTAAATATTATTTAAAAATATTAAAACAAAACGTCCTAAGATTTCCATTGCAATAAACCTGTTACGCAGCTATAAAATATTAATAAACAAATATAAATACAAAACAATGGGTGCAATAATACGAATCAGATTTACTGTTAATATGATGGCCAAAGAATTAAAAAATGAATGAAAATAAGTAAGAAAAAACTTAATCGTCCCCATTCCACGAAATATGGAATATGTGAGGGAAGATACTGTCTGCCAGTACCATCGCTTTTTTGTGTCAAAAAATCCATCTCAATCGCATTGAGTCGAAAACAACAATCTGATAATATTGAACTAGGACATCTAGAATCAAAATATTTCTATCCATGTCACTCATTAATTTATTTAAGAATAATGTCAAAAATATATATATAAAATAAAATAAAAAATAAAATAATAAAAAATATAAAAAATAGTAAAATATAAAAAATGTAAAATATAAGAAAAAGTATAAGGAATGGTAAATAAAAATATAAGATAAAAATTGAATATTAAAAAAATAAATCTAGTGAATCTAGCAAATAGAATAAGTGTTTTTTGTTAAAATAATTTCGCTTTGTTTTAACTACAAATTATTTATTTATCTATTTAAAAGTTTTCTATATAATAACTGCTCCCAAATTATTTAAGATTATATAGTTATATGTTTATTTTTGTTATGTATTTTACTGTTACACATTCATTTTTTAAACATATTTATTACAAAATGGGCAACCTTGTAACTATTTCGCATTGTAGAGCTTGCGACCAATTTTCATCATAATTTTGTTCATCAACAAAGTAACATAAAAAGAATCCATAACGAAATACGTCAGAAGTGGATTTGTTTAGTATTGAAACGCTAACACCATCAATATCTAATTGTCCTAGAAAGAATGCTTTTCAGAAACAAAGCGAAAAAATATGTAATATATAAGTATATAACGTACAAGTCAAGTTTTTCATCATTAAATATTCATTCATCATTAAATATTAGAAATCATTAAATATTTTTTAAACTTTATTTCTGGTTATAATAAGTTTATTTTACACGAATCATTCTTATTAAGCCATTGGTAAACAAACAGTAATTTCGATATCTTTCAACAAAACGATTAAAGGATAGCTGGAATAAAGAATAAAAATGCATAAAATAAGATTTACCTGCAGGCAAAACTCGAATTTTGCTATTCGCAATAAGTTCATTCGCGAAATCAATGGCACAATTGCGATCGACTATTTCCACAACATTTACTACCAGCCATGCGACAAATTCAGTCGCAAGAAACACTTCAGATGGATATCGAGCAGTTGTTTCATAAAAATAATAAAACGAACAAGACTCTCGCCAAGCCTTCAGTAAGGATTCAGGATCATTAATACTATACGTTATCTTATTAACATCAGCGTCTAGTCCAAGTGATCTAAAAAAAATTTGCCTTAAATCAATGATTCAAAAAATTTATATCAAATAGAAAAAATGTAAAGGCACTTTAAATTTTTCACCACTTTTAATTACTTTCAGTATGTACGTTATCATTCATAATCAAAACTAAGTATGTATGGTCAAAAATAAAATCAACCTGCTTTTCGATGAATGGCGATCCACCTTACGTCTCAAACGATTAACAGTTTCTAAAAATTTTATAAATCCCTCCTTTTGTCGCTCATCAAATGTTTCATTTTTGATTGCACCATATTTGTCACCGCCACTTCGTTCAGCAATAATTTTCTTCGTAGTTGATGAACATAAAGGTGTCACTAGAAATCTGAAATATTTTAACAAAAAATTTGGAAAAAAGTTACTCAGAAAGTATTACTGCAAGCAATTCATTTTGAAGAATCTTCAACAATGTTCAATTAGATCGAGGCACAGAGATATAATCTTTAAATTTTAAAAAAAGACCTTGAAAAGAAACATTTAAACTCGTTCTTAAATAAGGACGGTGAATTACGGTACTGTATTTGCGTATCCAAATAACTCCAATTTAATTTAAGCAGATTTATCGCTTTGAAACTAAAATTAAACAGTAGATTTGAAATCAAAAAACATAAGCTTTTTTGACATAACCAGTAGAATAAAGACAAATACTTACGTTGTAGTACTGACTACATAATCGTCGCTATCAGGAACTTTAAATAAATACTTATGATGTTCCTTCTGAACCGATTCAGCCGTTTCATCGAATTCACTAGGTCGCATAAAATATTGCGTCACACTAATCTCATCTCCTTCCATGAAAAGACGATGGTAAGTTCGGCTATACGATAAAAAACACTCGCGTATATTTTTTGAATTTTCAATACGATCTGATTGGTCTTCCTGGAATTGAATGAAAAATACAATGTTAAAAGATTTTTTTCTAAAAAGTTGAAAATTATCCACATCTGCATTGAAGAAAAAAATTTAGAAAGTTTCATTGTATATAGAATTCGGTAGCTTAATGGCTAGACGACTATCAACGTTCTATCCGACCAACGCATCAAGCTTCGTCGAGTTCTAGTGTCACTGAATGACGAAAGAAATAAGTGGTAGTAGGTTACCTCACTAGACTATTATTTTTGAAGCATCAATGTTGGGATCCCTGGAATAAATTCGACCTTCAGAAAAAAAACCCAGATTATGCTCGTAACTCACCTGTACTTCTATCGCCAAGTGAAAAATTCCCATGCAAAATTTGTCTGGTTTAACAAGTTATTGCAGCGAGCGTAACCAGCAATAATAAGAAAAGCTCATAGAAAAAAAAATTTAACGTAAGATTAAATACATTTAACTTACGCTAATACCAATAGCTGCATGGATCATTTTTTTCTCCAAAAGCACAATCTGAAAACCTCGTTGAAGTCTTTGAGAAATCATCTGATCAAAAACCAGTGATTTGAATTTTTCAGCATTTGCATTTTTCGTTTCTCCTAACCATTCATGCATAACATCATTATCAATAAGAACTTGATGTGCCTACAAATTTATATAATTATTACTGCATTACTGCATACAATTATTATATTAACATAATTATTATATTACTATCGTATTTTATAATATTTCATATTATTAACTGTAAATATATTATTAGTAGCTTTATCATTAACTAATCTAAATTTTTTTATTAGAATTATCAATTATTGTCAACCATTGTCACCAAGTTTTTTTATTAATTTTAAACTATTATTCGCACCTTCATTACCTCATTATCATTTAATTCACTGTTATTACTATTATTATCGATTTTTATTGATTATATCATTGATAGAGAACAGTAAATGAATTGCAACAACAACAATGCAAATGCAGAATGAAAAGCAAAACGCTTTACAAAAGCAAAACTACAAGAACATGTTAGAAGTAAACTAGAGTCAACTAGGAAAATACTAAAATCGAATAAAAAACAATTAAAATACAAATGATTTATTCATAACGTAAAAAAATTTCCCTCATTTAGTATTCCGCATAAAATAAAGAAATTCTAACCGTAACCAAGTAATCATTGTGAATACTTCGGCCATCCGGAAAGAAATCGGTAGTTATCGGCAATAATCCTGAACGAACCAAAGATTTCCAATCCACCCCAATCTCTACATCAGGATTCCACTTTTCTTCCCCTGTAGAGCCCCATGCCCATACACATTTTTTTCCACCTGCACCTTGCCCAGTAACTCTGTAACTCAGATGTGGTTTTCAATCTATTTCAGATCTTTTCAAATGCCGTATGGATTCATTAACTGCAATAAATCAAACCTATTCATATTTTTTTCCATCGAACTGGCTTGAGGGGATGGAGGTCTCCGTAAAGGAGAACCAGCTGTTACCGTTAATGCTGACAATGATTTTTCATCCGGTTCTGTTTCATCCATTTGTGTTATATGCACAATACTCTTCCCAGCAACATAATGATGCGAATGCTTAGCACGACCCAATTTATCAACTGGGAAGACATGAATCCATCGTCGTCGATTTGCCGTTATTCGAACTACAAATTGTACATATTCAAAATAAAAATATTAAGTAAAAGGATAACGCAAGAATTAAAATTAAAAATTTATTCTTCCCACTTTATTTCAAAAATTAATTTATCCAGTGATGTTCTTGAATTTAAAATGACCTTTACATTCAACTTTTGTAAATTTTAGAAATTTTCTTGGCTTAATTGCAGCTTACCACTAAATTCTTCAGGTTTGAATGGGTTAATAAGAGGTCTTCCATCACTGCCGACAGGTTTCTGAAATGTTTTTAAAAATTAAGTTGTTTTTACTAGTATATCTTTATTTGTCTCAGAGAAGAAAAAAAAAACATGAAATATATCTTCTATATTTTATATCAATCTAAAAATTTATCGACCAAATTCATACCGAAATATTAATTATCTTATTATCTTACATTTTTTAGAAGAAATAAATGGCGCAATTTACCTCTAGCGACTTGCTTGGGCTATCTGCAATAAGCGATGCGAATGCCTTTTCGTCATATGCATCCATATCTATTTCATCTTCATCATCATCATTAGTCTCCATCACTAAGCCGAATTCCGTGCCCTAAAAGATAATTAAACGTCTCTTATCAGGATTAGTAGAAAACACATATCCAGCATTGATTTATTCATGGACTAATAATACCACTTTATTCCAATTTTAATTTTAAAAACCTATATATTTATTTTATTTTATATCTAATCAATATATAAAGTAATGAGCGAACTATTCTGTTCTGCTTATTTTTAAAGGCCTTAAAATTTCATACTTGCAATAATTCTTCACACATTTTAATTCTTGGCCTAAATTTAATAGAGATTGCAGATCGCACAGGCATCCTATAATAAGAATAATTCATCCAATGAGGAATTAAATATTCTTCGAATGGATGCGCAGATTCAGATAACCTAAAAATATGATGCTTTGGATGTATAAACCTATAAGCACTATTTATATTAATAATAAAAATACAACAATCCTAATTTGCTCCTAATTTATAATAAATCACATGCACAGATAAAATTTCTCAAATAAACAATAGGGAGAAGATTCTGAAAAAAAAATGCTTTTTTATGCTCATTCCACCATACATTACCTCTGAAAAACAAAAAGTGGTACAACATGAAGTGGTTGTTCTCCCAAGCAGACGAGATCAAGCGAAACTCCCATATCTATCGACCTTTGCTTTGTAAAATTAACCATATGTCGATCGACATTAAATACAGCACCAGCTGTTACAAAAATTATCTGCAAAGTCTATGCAAAATTCATGCACAGATAAGCCTTTTATTTTTTTCATTCGAATTTTGCAAAAAAAAGTTATATAAAATTTATAATTATACTGTTCAAACAAATTCAATAATATAAATCAATTTGAAAAAATTTTAGAAATTACCTGATGTCCTACAGTTTCAAAACGGCGATCTGTATAGTAAGCATTGAAGGAATTCATTGAAAGATTTAGCGCTTCGAAAAAATTTCCATCTGCCGCCGTTGAAAGTTCTGCCACCGGTCTTTTGCAGCTCTCAGTCTTTAAATTATATCATGAACTTGGACCTTAGGGATGAAATAGGGATGTTCTTTGAATAAAAACCAAATTCCAAAAAAAGATAAAATTCGACCCAAACGAATTAGTCATTTAAACAGAACAAACCACAAGCTGTCTCTGAATAAAATCTTGGATTGTTTGCCGATAATTAAAAAAAACCAAACGAAGCTGAAAATTCAATTTTTCCATGACAATCTAAATGAATCTAACAATATTTCTTCAAAATTTATAAATTATGGAACTTGTGAAAATTATGCATGCAGTGAATTGCAGTTTAACTGGAAAAGTATTGCAAGCTTCATTCAAAAATTTTTAAGAATATTAAAATAAAAGGAATAAATTGGTTAACCTTTGGTATAACAGACTTCCAGTCATCATAATGTTCATTTTGTATTATAACACGATAAAAATCCTCAAAACAAGTTGTAAGATTTTCAGAAACCTAATTGCAGGAAAAACTTCCAGAAGCATGAATAATCTCATTTTTATATCTCATTTTTTATATTTTTATACTTTTATATTAAATTAAAATTTAATTTAGAAAGAATAATCGACAATACATCTAAAACATCATATTATCAATATACCTCATAATATCTTCCTCTACAATCCTTACTAACTTTTTCTTTCGCGACATCGTCCAGTGAATCTTCATCAAAGTACCATCTAAATAATTGTCGACGAGGGCATATAAAAAATGAATTTTATTAAACAGATATTTTGAGTTTATTCGTTGACTGAAACCTTTTTTTAATAGAATATTCAACAACATAATGGTGAATTTATATTCTTACAGAATTCTTATCATCTTATAAAAAGATTATGGTAAATGGAAATCTAGAAAATGGTAAATGAGGTTTATGACCCAGAGAGCTTAATTGTGGAATAATTTACCTGGAAACAACTATAAGTGTAACATAATGTGCACAGTTATTCGACTTCCATTTTTCAAACAATTCAGGAAAAAATCCATTAAGACACTTTTCAAAATACAAATCACCGAAAGGATCCATATCCCACATCTCCGAGCCGACTTGCACAAAAATTAAAACCTGCAGTTGTTCAGAATTTGCACCATATGCATCTCAAAATTATAAAATTTTCAGAAATCTAATTATAGGAAAAACTTCCAGAAGCATGAATAATCTCATCTTTATATGCTAAAAATTAGGCCATTAGAAACCATTTTTTAGCGCTATCTTTCGTGAATTAAGATCAGTGAAAATATGTTTGGCATAATAAGATGGCATTCTATTGTGAATTTTGCAGTTTTTGTAATATTAAAAAATAAACGAATGAGTACCAGCGAGCTCGAAGATCGAAAAACTACACGTGTATCTTCAGATATAAAGCCACTACTAACCTAAAACTCTATAAATTTTCAAGAAAAACAAAATTTCAAAGCTGATAATTTTCAGTCAAATTTTTCATATATATATAAATTTGGTTCGCTGCACCCACTAATAGGTTAAAACTTTCCATCGAAAATCGGAAAGTCGATTGGAGATAGAAATGCAGATGAATGTCAAGTAACATCGGGATTTACCTTTAATGACGTGGAGCCAGTTTATTAGCTGGTTTATAATATTTGAAGCTCATATAAGTCAAATCCGACAAGTTATACAAATTTAATTTGAAAATTGACATTAAATTTAAAGAAGAAAGTTTTTCTTATAAAAACTCTTAAGTAGAATTAAAAAATTTACATTTTCGCCTTTTAACCAGAGATCATGAACAGTTGTCGGTACCCCTAACCAATCCAGCTTCTGTGCAAGATATGTGCAAGTATTCATCAAGCATCGTCTAAAACGCCACATATCCGATCTGCTCATATAACGCTCTCGAAATGTTAATTCAATGCTATCAAGCGCTATCTGACAAACTCGAAATACATAAAATTTACAATAAAAATTTTTTAATATAAAAAATGTGGCTAATGTTTATCTGGTTCGGTTGCTCCGCTGATTGTTACAACGGTAAAATTTTTTTTCACTTGGGGATAGAAGGTCGCCAGCATCATCTGGATTTTTTAATGAAAGGTAATCCCACAGGAGTGCCTCTCAATGCCGTAATTTGAACTATTGTCTACCCCGTTAACGCAAATTTTCTTGTAAGTGAAATCTTAAATTTGAGCAAAATTTTCATGCAAATTTAAATGTGCTGTTTGATATTTTAAAAAAAGAGTGAAGAATGAGACTCGCACATGAAAATTGCACTTGAATTAACAAATATAAAATATATAAAAAAGTAAATAAAGGGGACAGACACCGAAACCGAAATAAACAGTTCCGGAAATCTGAGATTACACGGCTATTCTGACCTACTATGGTCTAAACTGAAGCCGAGCTGAAGCCTAGAATATTACAAAAGAAAAGCAAAAATAGAAAATGTTAAAAATGATTTACCTGCTTTTTCTCAGCAATACTGACATTTACTGTATCATTTTGCAAAACTGAAAAACGATCAGCTAAAGTTTTCTCCAAATAAATCCTCTTTTCTCGATAAGTTTCATTATGTTCATGCATATATTGCACATAAAATGGTTGTTGCGATGATGGCGAAAGTATTTGCAGAATATCACCGATTCGTAAATTTGGCAGATCCTTATTATTCTTTAAAAAATTTAAAATTTAAAAAAATCTAAGAAGTGGAAGGCAATTTAAAAAATTCTAGCAGATAAATTTCAACTTGCTGGTTACGCAATAAACTATGCAGCACATACGATTAACGAACCGAGATTTACAAGATTTACAAGATTTAACGGTATGAGAAATCATAAAAATATAACCGTTTCAAGTGACAGTGCACAGTCAAAAGTAAAAACAAGAAATGTAAAGAAATGTAAATGTAAAGAAAAGCAAACAAAAAACAAGCTTACCAATATGACATCGCAGCAAATATTGCCAGATTTTTTATCACCTCTACGAAATAAATACACACGAAATGAAGTATCGGAATCAGAAGACGATTTCATTTCATTTCATTTCTTTAAATGATTAAAAAAATAGAACACAAGAACTTTGGAAATCGGCAACAATTCTGCTCTTAGTGCCACAAAATCGATGTACTAAATCCCTATTTCCATCCAGAAAAACAGAAATCGTCACAAAGCCTTCATTCGATCCAAAATCTCGGAATCTTTTTGCAATAAAAATTCTTAAAATTGCAATGTCTAGTGGTTGGTATCTAATAGTATCCATTTAATCTACTGGCTATTACAAGACCCCTTATAGCCACTTGGCAATAGACGAACAGATCCACCTGCAGTAATCCAACCCCAGCCTACCCTATGGAGGAAAGTGAAGCGAAACAACGCATGAATTAGCAGCCTATCATTAAAATGGCATTCCATAATTACCAAATCGGCTGATTTTGTAATGGTAAATTATAACAAGACCTAATATTTTCTTAAGAAACAGATAGGAAACATTTTTTTGAAATTCCATCTTCAACACTTCAATGAAACGAATATTTCAAAGAGTCAATTTTCATCGCTCTCATTTCATTAAATATATCTAAATACACAGAACATAGAACTCCCCTTTATATTAACCCAACAATTTTAGTTAAAATTGCTTCGAAATGCTCAGTACTGAAATATATCACTTAATAAAATTTAAAACTCATGATTTGAAAGACTTCATGGGCTTTATTAAAGGCAATTCTACAGAAAGCAGCCATAATTTAACCAAATGGTAAATATGAAGATATTGTTTATAATTTTCCATTTAAAAAATATAAACATCTAATCGCAGACCGAAATGTACCAAAATTTCAGATGAAAAACAATTCTAAAATAACTCTAATATTGCAAAGGAGTAATCAAAATTTACAAAAATATCAATTCAAAAATTAAATTTTATCAGAAGAAAATTAAATACACCAACACAAATCCGATTTCATTGAACCTTCAAACATCAGCCTATCATTAGAGTGCTCTTTTCAACTGTCCTTTTTCTGATCAAAATAATTTTTAAATGAAACAGAATACGTTAAAATTTTTTTATCATTACAATACATAATCAAGTTCATATCGAAGAAATGTGTTGCGTTCTGTATCAGGAATACGAGGATAACCTGCCACAAGCGCATCCTGAGCACCAAGAATTAAGTTATTGAAGACCTAAAAATTCTCCAGATCACAAAGGGCCTTTCAATGAAAAATGAAAAAATTTAAAAAAAATAAATAAATCAAATCTGAGTTCAAACTTCCTCACCTTCCAAATCGGTTCGCGCACTTTTCTAGCAGGATGCCAAAGAGCTTGTAAGCAATATTGCAAAACTTTTATAGGACCAACCGAAACACGCATTGCATCAGAAGCAAAAATGAATCTAAAGCACAAGGACAAAAATAAAATTCAACAAATTTAAAAAAAAGTTTAATCATAATTAAATAATAATAATATTAACAGAAGCCTTCTATCTTACGCTCTCAACATTAACGGCATAAACGAATGAAAAACTTCTGTTTTTAATCCAACCACATGGCTAAGGCATTAAATATGTTAAAATATGTTAATAATCATGCAATATTTGTAACGAACAATAATAACAAAAATAAATAATAAAAAAATCTGAATAACATGACTAACCGCTGAATAACATGAGGAGAATTTTCAAGCATATTTGGCCATACATAATTGAAGATATGAATTAAAGCATCTTCGCAACCGAAACCGTAAACTCCTAATGTCAAATGTGCAACGGCATCCATTGCAATCTGCCGATGCACAATATCTCTGAAAAAATGATATCCACGATGAAGAAAACGCATTCGTGAAAATACTTATATCCACTTATAAAATACTAATATTTTTCCTATACATGAGTGGGACATACTTTTTTGTTGGAAGTATAGATCAAGAAATTAATAACCAGTGATTAACAACTAATGATAATTATATAAACTGCATTTTTTCTAAGCATTCACCATCTCATTCCACCGTGACTCTTGCGCTACAGTCAAGTGCGAATAAAAGCAGAATCTTTAATACCGCTCGTGTAGCTTAAATTAAAAGTTCAAAGCTGCTGCATACTCAGCGACTATCATGGAATTTTTAACACCTAAACAATGCTAACCATTTTAATAATTTTACCTGGTACCATCAAAATATTAAGAAATAAAAAAATTAATCAATAAATTTGCAGTTCTCAGACTTAAAAAAAGTAGAACTATTCAAGTTGCAAATATTATGGAATTATTATGGAAATGCAAAAAAATAAATAAGATAACTATTACCGTTCCATTAAAGCATCCACAAGCAGAGGAGTAACTGCATAAATATAATCCTTAGCCATTTCACCAATATACTAAATATATATATATATATATATATGCATATAATAAACCGATATAATAAAAAGAGTGAATAAGTTTTAAAAAATTAAATATAAAAAAATGAAAAAATAAGAATAACCAATTCTTGGAAAGGTGGAACAAAAATCCATATAAATGGCATCAGAGATTTGAGTTTTTTAGAGAGAAAAGAAAATTTTTCAAATTCAAACCTCAAACATGAAAGAAAGAGCTTTAAGAACACCATTTTGCACATTAATTTCAGGAACACGATATTCATTCATAATTGCAGGTAAAACGGTAAATGGTGCACATGTTTCTGCGACGATTGCAATTGCAACAGTAGTGCAAACTCGAAGCTGTCTCTCTTGTACTTTTAAATTGTTCAATAATGTAGCCAAAACATCATGAGGCCCAATTGCCTGAAATAGAGTAGCAGTGAAATTAAAAATAGCGCTAAAGCAAATCGGCTTTAATATTTTGCATGAAATGCATAAATTTAAAAAACAAATATATCTAAAAAATAAAAGTCTAATAGCCAAATCTTAAGTCACTGAAAATGTAAATTGGCATCCACAATCTTTTTCTAACATTACCCATGCGACTGTATCATTCTATGTTCATACAGAAAGTATTAATAAAATAAAATCAGTAAAACTTCAGCCAAATCATCCAACGATAGCACCACGAGCCGCGTATAACATCACATCGGCACCATCTTTGCGTTTTCTCAAATAACTAAAATCTTTACTTCATTGCTAATTTCAATCATTTCACACTAATTAATTATCCAACATTTACAAATCAACAAATTTTTTCAAATTTTTATACAAATTACAATACAAAATGATGATACATAAATCAGAGATACTAATTCAGCCAGTTTTAGCTCCGCCAATTGCGTTTAGCCCAAGCGTTATAATTTGGGAAATATTTGGTTAAAAATTGCTATTCAAAAATTGGACCAATTTCGAGATTGAATGAAACTGAATATCTAAATTCATTGTTGTCGAACTGATAAGATGAACGGCAGTTGAAAAAATTAATGAAATGAATTTTCTCCAGGATTCCTTGCATACTTCGAGAGATTTTACCGATTATTTGAAGCTTCCTATGTTTGAATGCATTCACTGAGGTCACTGACATTTTTTGAAAGAGATTGAAAGAAGTAAAACCGATCGCAATAGGTTAAGTTTCAAAAATTTGTTTCGAGAATTTCATAGAAGCAATGGAATGACAACTGGAAATTTTGTTAATCCACAGTTTTTGCAACAATCCTTACCCTTTCAGAAGTAGATTGCTGGGTTCATTTCTGGAATGACAAGTTCTCTATCGACTAATTTTAAAAAAAGGGGAGAGAATGCAGAAGGAATGAATGGATAATACAAAACGACTTAGCAAATGCAGCAGATAAATATCAAAAAAAACCAACCTTGTAGCACTACATCTGATAAACCATCTTCTCGTCTGATAATGGCCCTAAAGATAATGAAACCGACGGGAATGCCTTAAACTGAGTGAAAAATCAATGCGTTCGAAAAACGCATGACTTCTTTACAATAATTTGCCTTAATTTCCTACAACCAAAGAAAAACACCGTCAAAACACTACATTTAACTCGTTTATTTTGAATTTCATAATAACCTTAGCTATAAATCCAAAAGTATTGATTGCTGCGCGGCGTATAGATTTCTTATGAGCCTTGAGAAGTTCAAGTAATTCAAAACATATTCTCATCCATTCACGTGCCGAAACAAATTCACTTCCACGATCAGCGATTCGTCCAACAAGATCAATACAGTTTTCCTGCACTTTTTCGTGTCTGAAAATTACCTAATTCCAATAATAAATTTATATGAAAATCTAAACAGGAAAATTATACATTTCGTGAAGAATAATTCCGCAAAATTCTAAGAAAATATGAATGATCCATTTAATCACCTATTCTTCAAAATTGGAGTAAGACGAGGAAGAAGATCCTTAATAGGTGGTGTCATTTTAGTCATACCAATAACATTAACAATCGATTTCAAAGCACCCAAAATTGATCCCAATACTTCAGGATATTCTTCTCCAAGATATTCATATAGAACTACACCTAAATGGCCCATAAGTTTTTCTTCTTGACAAATATTCATCACAGGAGCCAATTTGGCGATCTAAAATTACAAAACTTTAAATAATTATTAATTTTAATCTTTAAATAAGGGATTTTAAAAAATACTGATTAAAAGGAAGCTTTCTACTGTTACAATGCAAACAACATACAAGGTCTGCTGCTTGTTGACGAACTTTTGCTGACTTATTATTCAAACGCCAGAGAATAGTACCACAGATCTGGGGTAAATAAGGTTTCGTTCTTCTTCCTAATCCTTTACAAACAGTTCCAAATCCATCCAACATAACAGCATCCTGAGAACAATTGTGCAGTATAATTTTCACAATTTTAAAAATTTGAAAATTTTACAACTGAAAAATTAAAAAAAAATTAAACAGTTTAAAAAATGAAAAAAATGCAACTTGAACTTGAACGAAAATGCACCTGAACTTCCTGAGTTTGTTCCTGAAAAGCATATACAATCCCATCAATAAGCTGTTCTTCTAGACGCGCATCTATATCATTCGCTCCCATCAGCGAAATAATATTTTCTATGGTTTCCATCACCATTTTTCGGTATAACTCGTTCTCATCTTTTAGATCATCAACTATTCTTGCAATCATCTCCGCTGAACCGACCTAAATTTATTTATTTATTAGCTAATAGGCAATGATATTTATTATATTTCGAAAAACATTAGAAAATATTCGAACCTTTTGAGCTAATTCGACCGTGGTATCAACTAGCTGCCGATAATTACGCCTATCTAATGCCATGCGATGATTCCAAAATGCTTTAAAAAAGTGAGATAAGATTTCGTCGCGAATATATCCCGCTTCAACACCATCAGTTCCACAACACTGTTTTACAACCTATAAAGAATAATTCGCAGCACGATGAAAAATTACTAGAAAGGTAAAAACTGAATTGAGAATTGAGAATAAAATAATTAATGAAATTCAAGGTCAAAATGATTTAAAAAATAAAAAAATGAAATTAGGCAAATTAAACTGAAATTACATGTGGAGAAAAACAGAATTAAAAAATCGAAATTAAAATTGGGAATCTGTCGAAAGGAAAAAAAACCTTTAAAACGATTTTCTTCATCTCCTCATCTGGTGATGCAAATTCTCGAATAAGAATAAGCATTACTTCTCGAGTATAGTATGAAGCATATTCAGCATCCATAAGAGGAATTAGAAAACCAATGGCTTTCAAGAAAGCAGCAAGACCCTAAATTTAAGTGGAAAAGAAATATAACCTTTAATTTTGTAAATTAATGAATAAAATTAATGAATGAAATTGAACCTTATGAACAAAATTTTATCATATTAATCTCGATTAAAATAAAAATCCAAAAATAATCCAAAACGAAATAAAGAGAATGATAAATAAAATTTCAAAATTACAAAATTATAAATTATATATATTAAATTATATATAAATTATATAAAATTATATAAATTACATAAACCAAAAAACCTTTCCTCGATGTGATCGAATGCCTTTCCATAGTGGTTTAAGAACGGAATCAAATGCTTCGATACCATATGGTGTAGCTGCTTCTGCCAGAGCAGCTAGACAAAGAGCCGTTATCGTTCGGACCTTAAAAATTTGGAAATGAGCGAACAAATAGCCATAGTAATTTGGGAAATTGAAATGATTACCTTTTGTTGATCATCAACAAGTCCAGTCTCTACTATCTCGACTAAAGACCTTAAATGCGGAAGTACAGCACAACCCATAAGAATAGCCATCTGTTGTACGATTTTAATGCCTAAAAAAATTGAACAATCGGATATAATGAAACTTTGTTCCAATAATAAATAAAACAACACAAGAGAAAACCAACCTGTGTGTCTTGCCTGCCAACTTTTTTTACTTTTGCATACTGCTTTTAGGAAAGGAAGAAGGGCAGGAATTCCAAGAGCAGAAGCGACAACAGCAAAAGCTCGAGCAGTTGTATTTCGAACATATTCATCAACATTATCAATATCAGGTCGCATAGTTGAAATCATAGTTGCCAAACCTTAAAAAAATTCAAACTAATGATTATTTATAATATTGTTATTTATAAGGCATAGATAAAGCCATACATAAAACTTTTATCAGCTTTTATCCAATATGCCAAAATTGTAAAATTACCTGCAGCTTTTGCCAAATTAGAAATTATTTCTCGACCTTCTACACGGGCATAATAATCTTCATCAATAAGTAACGGTTCAATAACGACCAAAATTTTATGAACGTATGGACGAACGAGGTCATCCAGCTTATATAACACACGATCAATTACCTACAATGCATATTTATCGAAATACATGATACAACTTAGAATATAGAAAAATAATACAGATATATTAGCAACAAACATCATGAATATTATTTATTATTTAAAAAAATATTTCGCTAAGCTTTTAACGTTCATTAACATCAACTTTTAACATTCATTAACATCACTTACTTTGACCATCAGATGACGTTCTTGGTCTTCCAAAGTTGGCGACATCAACAGTGGAAGAATCTGATTAAATAGGGCACCAGCTCCAAAGCGGCGAGCATTCTCAGTAATTTTTCGCAGTCCAGATTTACGTTGTGGTGGTGTTCCATTCTTAATTTTCAACAAATAGGTCATAATCTCCCTTTCAATGAGCTCTTCTTTCGATAGCAAACTTTCATCAACATCCATCAATAGTTTATCAAAATATTGAATATCTGCTGGTTTCAAAGGCGGTAATTCAGAATTTTTCGGCTGAGTATCGACTAGACTTGCAACACCTACAGTGAGAAATTGAGTTATTAAAAATAAAGTCCTTTTTCTCCTTTCCCTTATAAATCTAAAACAAGGCATCAAGATAACAGGGACCTTTCTATTAGTTAAAATTGAATCGATTAACATATATCATTAAAAACTGAACATATCAAAAAAAGAAAAAATGAACCTTTATCTGCTAAACCTGGTCTTTCAGGAGTTCCTTGCATCATAAAACCCACTGGAGTCCCAGTCGCTCCTAAAGGTGTGGGTGTTGCCAACAATTTTCTGCCAGGAGTACGGATAGGGATATAACCATTTGGTGGAGGCAAAATTTTGTAACCTGGAGGAAACAATGCATCAAGTTCTTCATCAGAAAGTGGCCTAAAAAATTGATAATCAAATTTTTCGATTTCAAATTTCTCATTAAAACAAGAAATTACCAAAATATGAAAATAATAAAGATAAATATGAAAATTAACCTGTTTCTTTCATCGATTTCCCGTTCCCATTTGAAAATAGCCATCTGATCTGGAGTCATAGGTGCAGATGGAAACACTGGAGTTTTTAAGCCAATCGCCAAAGCTCCCACAGGAGTTGTTCCACCAGGAGTCATCACTGAAGGAGTCATTCCCGGAGCGCTTGGAGTGAAGCTGGATGGAGTTGCAGCACCAGGTAAAGGAGTACTTGACGGAGTTACTGAGCCAGCAACTGTATTTAATGGAGTAGCAGCAGATGGTGTTAAATCCCATCTTGAACGCCTTTTTGATTCTCCTGGAGTTTCTTCCACCTTAAAGAACCACTTACCAAATAAAAAAATAAATTTTTTTTGTTCATATCCATATCACAATAAATTGTAAAACCTTTGCGTCCTCAAATGTTCGCGTATCACGAGGAGTTTCTGCACCCCAACCGGGAGTCATTCCATCACGCACTGATTCTGAAATTATTCAAAATCGAATTTTATGATAGCTCCGACAGAAAATGCAACCAAGATAGGAACATTTTAATAAAAACCTTTTGGAGTTTCATCCCAACGATTACGACGGGGAGTTTGAGTCGTTGGAGTAGCGTCCCATGCTTTGGCCCCAGTAGCAGGAGTAGCATCTACCCCCGCAGCATGTGCAGGTGTTTCGTCCCATCGAGCAATTCGAGGTGTGGCGATCTTAAATTATTTAATGTCTAAAACAATTCCACAGTAAAAACAAAATAATTAAACAAGATACGTCAGCAATTGATGAGATGTTAGATGATATTGTAAGACGTTGACGCTGTGTAGTTCCAGGAGTCTGAGAAGATGGAGTTAAAGCTCCCGCTCCCAGAACCTCAGTTTTGGGCGTTTCATCCCACCTGCCTCTTTTTTGCACAGGTGCTAAAGGTCTGGATTTCAATTCTCCTGCTTTCGCTTTATCAACTAATTCCTTCTCCACTTTTCCCTGAAAAAATATTATTTTTTAATTTATTTTTAAATATTTTCAGAAAACTTTTACCTTTACTAAGAATTTGTAATTCAAAAAAAGAAAGTTGAAAAAAAAGAAATGCGAAAAAAACCGTCTCCTCGCGAAGCCTTTGTTCTTTCATGATTTGAGCATAAGAACGATCTCTTATATCTGGTGTTTGGTCAGCTATAAGAATTAAATAAATATTTTACAACTTTAAATAAAATTAAAAGCTTAGTAAAAAAGTAAAAAAGTTAAGTAAAAAAATTAAGAGAAATGATTGAATAAAAACCCACCAAACATATCTGCACGCTCAGGTGAAATCTGTCTATGTTGCGCACGAGCTTGATAATTACTTTGCCTTTCAGCAATAGTTCTTATTCTAGTTTCAGCAAATGGATCACTATCCTATAAATTTTTTTTAAAAAATGGAATGTAAAAAAATTTATAATTCTTCATCAGAAAAACAGATAAAAAAATTTCACTATTATAAATTACCTTTCCATGCCGTGCAGCTTCTTCAACAAAACGTTTCGATGCAGAATAAGTCGCTTTGGCAGTAGCCATAGGACCCATTAGCTCATCATCACCTTCATCATCATCATCTCCTGCATTTATTGACGATAAATAATCACTTCTACGCCCCCCACGAACACTACCATAAACATCCTGAAATATTATGTATAGATAAGGATGAAAATTATTCATAATATTCGATTTCGGGGCTTATCGCATGAAAAAAGTGAAAAAATAATTAATGATTAACCGTATCATATCCACCAGCAGATCCGAAAGCAATTTTATCTACAGAATTTCCATTGCCCAAAGCATTTTCCTCATCATCCAGATGTCGTTTACGAGATATCAGTTGTCCTGCAGAAGCTGAAACTTAAATCACTGCATAAATTGCAGGAACAAAAAAAGAGAAAAAATGAAAAATAAACTAAAATTACAAAAAAAATTTAACTATAACTCCATTTTTAACTATAACTAATTTAACTATAACTCAATACAAAATTTCCAAAAAGAAAACTCACTTGTTTTACTTGTCATTTCGGAAAGATTTACAAGCTCTTTGGATTACTTTTTAAGAATTCGCGTGGAATGAATTAAATTTCACAAATTCTGTAAAATAAAAATATTTTATCTAATATACAACTATATTCAAAAAAGCAAACACAGCAATTTGAATTTTTAGAAAAAATTTTATTCTATGTCAGTGTCAGATAATATCCATTTCAGAAACCTAATTATAGTAAACTGAAATGAATATAAGGCTTGAAGTTGAATCGGCTTATATTTTAAAGCGCCATTCATAACTTTAAAGTGTTGTAAAGAAATATTCTGAAAAATTCACCAAATTTTGCAAACCTTTATAAATTTCCAAATAAATTGTTTTAAAAATTTTTAAAGATTTTGGACAAAAACATTTCTACTACTACGATTTCTTTTCAAGAAATCTGTTTTATTTACAGAAAACTTATATTTTTTGTTTAAATTAAAACGAAAAAGAAGAATATATAGAAAAGCAAGTAAATGTTTATATTTGAATGAATGGAAATAAAAGATATTTAATTATATCTATTAATAGTGGCAGAAAGTCCGAGTGGACAGCGGCTCCGCCATCGAGTTCAGAGACAAAACTGCGGCCCCTATTTCCGACAACAGCAATCCTCTCGCCATTTCTGTTTTGCGACCAAATCCCATCGATAAATAATTGATTGGTGAAGGCTTCGAACCGCACTTAGAGAGAATTAACAAAACAGCGGAATTAAAAATTTTCACCATTTTCTGTTTTATTTCCAATAAAATTAGTAAAAAAAAAAAGTATTCCGATCTCCATTATTTCATCCAATTTATGCGGATGAATTTCTTTAAGTTTCTCATAGTTTATTTTTTCATTAAAATTTTTATTTCAAATAAAAACAGAAAATAAAAATAAAATAAAATAAAAAGTCGATAAATCGATAAATCATAAATAAATTCGAGAAAAAAATTTCTCTAATTTTCCTTAAAAAAATATCGGAAAACGTCGATTCCAACAAATTTATGGAAAACTATAAGGGCGAATCACTAAAATAAGAAATACCCCCCCCCCCCCCCCCACCCTCACAAGCTCTCAAAAAAAGAAAACGAAAAACTTTAAGACATTTCATAATTGCATGTGAGAAGCGTCGCGACCACTAGTGCAAAAGATTTTTCCGCGCAGAAACGTGGCCAACGCCCGATGTCGAAAAATTATAGCCCAGTGTTGCTCTTAGTCAACAAAAGACAACAAAAGAGACGAGTCGCTCGGAGGGTGAGATTGGGCATCGCCTCGGGCTATCTCGATTCTTGTCCGAGTATCTTTGAAACGAGTAAAATTTGTCTTTTAAAAGTTTTTTGGATGTGTATATCTCATTAAATGGACATTATCTATGTGCAAAATATACTTGTTTTCCAATAAAATTTTGTAGTTGTTTTATCGCGTCAGACCAGTGGTTCATTAGTTTTTTGCACCATAGCGCTTTTTCTCTTTTAAATTTTCTTAAGAAACTCGTAAAAACGTCGATTGATTTGTCTGATGATAACTATGGATCCTTGTGGGAGTTAATAGGGAAAATTAAGCAATTTAAAACTTGAACCGAGGAATTTTGGGAAAAATCTTATCGAAATTTGAAAATTTTCAATTTCCAATTTGAAAATCATTTATGCATAATTGCATATAGAAGTAATTCAGTTTAGCTAACTGTTTTCAACTGCTTAGGGCTTAGAACGAAATGCAGCTAAAATCACGAGTTCTCGTTCTTATATCATTCTGTTAAGGGCAAGGATGTTCGGACATGGCTGCGTCGAGCATCGGAGATTCGGTTCTCCGGCACCGTCAGTAAACACGTATTGTCCTCATCGAATCATCCTCTGGCAAAATTTTTCAATTATGTTGGCATGGTGCTTGCTTGACGAGAAATCGTAGACCATTTTTTAGCATAAAACTGATTAATTCACTTGTAGATCAGGTATTTTAGCCTTTATGCATTGTAAAGGCTAAGAAAAAACAAATCTAAAAGCTTAAGTGATAAAAAAGAATTTGGCCTCGAGCGGTGATCTTCTAAATCGAGTAGATTCCTTATAAATTTAAATTATAAATTTGATGAATATGGTGTGGATTATAAATAACGATTATTCTAATCTGCCTTCCCTTATTCTACTTCCTACTTCGTGCTCTATTTCTGGTTCCATTTCACCATCACTCCACTTAATAAAAACTTTTCATTTCCAGATTTGCGATAACCTAGTACCATTTCAGATTATGGTGAAAGGCAAAGATTTGGTGCCTCTCTCCAACGGAGTAAGTGAATAGGTCACCGTTAGAAACCGTTAGAAAAAGAGCAAACCGCCAATCACATAAGTTATCGAATCGCAGATTGTTACAAAATTTTTTTTTCTTTTCAGTCATTTTGACATTGATTATTATTTGAATCATTTTGCTTCTTCAATTTTTCATTATTACTTTTTGCCAAAATAATTTCATTGATGTTTTTTGTTTTCGATTTAGTTTTAAAAAAATCTTCCAAACCAGGCTAACATCAACGGTTAATTCTCGTCATCGGCCTTGCGCGTTCAGTTTTATGACTCTCGAAATTACTAATTCTTCAGTATACGGTATCTTTATGTACTACGTTTAGCCTTTTCGGCTTAAAACAATTTTCACTTCACAAAGGTATCGGCAAACGAGTTCCGTCATCCTACACCGTTAATTTCATATTATTCAATAGTTTTGCTCAACAATTCTTACAAAACTACCGCTGAAAATATGATTTGCAACAGTTAATTTTTTATTTTATATAAAGAAGTATATAAAAGGCGATAAATTTGAAAAGATTCATGAAATTATCTCTGGTTTTCAGATCATGCAATAAGTAAGCAAATGGACTTTAGGGTAGGGTAGCTCGGCTGATCAGCTATCAGTTGATTGCTAATATTGCTTAGGAATTTTGCCAAGATACCCATTGTTGCTTAAATTCCATAACAAAATTTTCACACTTAAAATCAAATAATTTAACATTTTCAACATTTATCATTTAATTTAATATAATTTAACCTAACATTTTTATTTGTAATGACAAATGATAATCTCTTTTAATTTTTGATGACTAAATTTTGTGGATATTCCTCGTAATATTCGGCTAAATCGCAACTTCCTTTCATCAACGAGTCACTGGGCGAGAGAACAAGTGGGTCTCCAGCGCCAACAATAGTTTATTCGGTAAAACTTTGTAACACAAACGTTTAAAAGTGATTTAATTTGATTTAATTTATAAAGCGCGAAATAATTTAATTTATTTCAAAATGCAAAAAATTTCATTAACAATTTAATGAATTTTACCAAAATTTATCACATCATAAATAAATAATTGAAGAAATATTTTCAAGTAATCATTTAAAAAAATTTTTAAATTTCTCAGTTGATAAATTTTTTCTCTTCAAAATTTATCACTTTTTCTCTCAGCAATCACTTTTTCCTTAGTGCTCATTATTTCTTTAATTAATCTGGCTCAAAAATTTTATTCGCTTTTATGATAAATGATCTATAAGGATGGCTAAGCGGTTGATATGTTGATTGGACTGAGGTTGATCTTCACTGGTTCAACTCCTGTCCCTTGAGCTGCCATTAAAGATGAAATTCGGGTGGAGTACTTCTAGTTTCCCTGGCGAAGCGTCTCATATTAATAGTCAGTAGAGCAAATGGTAAGCTTGAAGAAAAAGATTTGTAAATGGCACACCAATTCGACGATTGTTATATGACAAATGGATGTTTTATGAATGTTTTATGAAAATCAGTGAAATTTTTTTCCTTAATTTCAAATAAAAACGAATCTTTTTTCGAAGAAAAAATGAGTCTTTTTTTGCCATATAAAATCACACAATCCTGCATTTATTGGAAGCGTTTTCTAAACAATCTAATGCATCTTCATAAACCGAGGTTTGCCGCAAAGAAGCGAAGAACAAAGCAATCAGCAAATCGACAGTAATCACTAACGATGGGAGACTGCATTAATCATGACTAAAAATTTTTTCGTCTCTATTAAATTAAATTTAGAATATAAACTGGAGACGAGTTTATGCATGAGTTTTGTGCATGAGTATAAAGCTTTATCTTGAGCTCGCAAAGTACAAAACTTCTTTCAGTCAGAACAATCGAAATATAAGCACTATTCGATGAAATGGTCAGGCAAATTCTGCATTTGAGATTCCGAGTTACGACTGCATAAAATTGTGAAACAAAGGTATTCATGAAGCAAGTTACTGGCATTCTTTGGTCGCACAGTTAATTGAAACGAAATTTTTCGAAATAATTTTGTTGAAAAATGACAACCAACGATAAATCGGTACAACTTTCTGTAACAAAATTGCAACAAAAATATATCCAATGGATGCTTTATGAAGATCAAACTAGATCGATAGATTGCTTTTAAGATCAAATCTTTTACATGCAGTCATAAAGATACAATTTATACAGTTTTCTTGATGACAATTATGCCGACAAAACTGCATCGTTTACAGTGATATAAAACCTGCCGTTCTAATCAATTAACCTCCAAAATCTTTAGACAGTATTAATGAGTTCAACAATCATTACTTTAATATGAAGAAAGTTCACCTCTGGCAAACAAATTTCTAACTGCTCAATTCTTAGAATGTACAAAACAACCGATTTCGATAGAGAGAAACTGTATAGAATAATTCAATTTCAAAGATGCCGTGAACTCTAAATCATCGATTTTTTGATGAATTTAAGAACATCTTATTACTTTCAAGAGTAAAACTAAATTAAAATATCTATTAAAAATAGGCAATCAAGTAGTGTTGTCGATCTGTCGGTATTTTGAGCCGGGTGACTCCCTGGCAAATTTCTAACCGTACTAATAGCCAGCTATACGAAACTGGAAAGAATGGCGAGCGCTAATTACTTTTTTTCAACTTATATTGCCTTTATAATTACCTTACTCAAACAGGATTAAAGCTCGAGATATTGATTTGGGCAACAACCACTCCAATATTTTAATCTATTT